AACATGCCTCTTATATTTATACAATATTTACTTATCCTGGGATTCATTTTTAATCTTTAACTTCTGCAAAAGATCAGAAACTGCCTTTATCTTGATTTACTGAGGTCAAAAAAAGGATTCTATATCTGTATCTGTTGGTCAGGTTAAATATTAATGTGAACTTCTGTTGAAAATTCCCTGCATCTTCAGATTCAGTGGTCAGGGCTGTGAAAAGTGAACCTGTGGTTGGTTGAGACCAAGAAACTTTCAATATACAACTGCTGCAGATCTCAGAATCAGGTATCTCAAAAAGCAATGTCCTGCTACCTAGTTCAGGGAGGTCTAAGAGATAAAACATAAATAGAGGAAATGCCACACTTACTGTTTCAGTTTCACTTTATAGGATCATTTAAGCCTTTTTTTTCCATTTTGGATAAAGAGAGGGTTTTAATCTCTGACAAGTTTTTTTTGTTTGTTGTTTCTCATTGTAGATATTTCCATTCACTTCCCATCCCATAGCCAGAACAGGAAATGAGCGGAAATCCCTCCAAAGTGAGGGAATCCCTGATTGTCACCAGGGTCACCAGAATGTGTATCCACAGTGGAAGATTTCCCCTCTATTAGCACTCTGGGGAGAACTAAAAATTTTGGATTTTCCTTTCATTTTTGTTGAAAATGACAAATAGAGAGATTGAATCTTCCTAAGGCTTCATGTACACCAAAGCTCCTAAACGCAGCTTCATAAAAGCCAATGTGTACACATGTCCATGAGTTTAGGAGCTGCCGCGTTTAGGTGAGGTTAAACCTCCCTCTCCTGAACGCAGAAGAATCGTGGTCAGGACAGGAACGATTTGACCGCCGGCTGCGGGAAAATGCAGCATAAATGCGTTTACATGGGTTTTTGCCATGGTAGGCTAATGTACATGTAGTCTTACAAAGGCAGCCCCTAACACCTCTCTACCCTATTAACCACTTGCCTACCGGACACTTATACCCCCTTCTTTACCAGGCCAATTTTCAGCTTTCAGCACTGTCGCACTTTGATTGACAATTGCGCGGTCATGCAAGATTGTACCCATATGAAATTTTTATAATTTTTTCTCACAAATAGAGCTTTCTTTTAGTGTATTTAATTGCCGCTGGGTGCTTTACTTTTTGCGCTATAAACAAAAAATTGCAAAAAAATTTGAAACAAAAAAAAAATTCTTTGTTTCTATTATAAAATGTTTCAAACAGGTAATTTTTCTCCTTCACTGATGTGCGTTGATGAGGCAGCACTGATGGGCAGTGATAGGTAGCACTGAAGGGCACTGATAGGTGGCACTGTTAGGCAGCACTAATGAGGTGGCACAGATAGGCGACACTGATAGGCAGCACTAATATGGTGTCACGGATAGGCGGCACTGATGATGGGTACTGATAGACAGCACTGATAGGTTGCACTGACTGGCATCACCGCTGGGCACTGACTGGCGGCACTGCTAGGCATTGACTGGTGCAACTGCTGGGCACTGACTGGCACAACCACTGGGCACTGACTTGTAGCACTGACTGGCAGCACTGCATTGATGGGCACTGGTGGGTGGCACTGATGGGCACAGGTGGGTGGCACTGGTGGGCACAGGTGGGTGGGCTCAGGTGGGTGACACTGCTGGGCACAGGTAGGTGGCACTTCTGGGCACAGGTAGGTGGCACTGCTGGGCACAGGTGGGTGCACTGCTGGGCACTGGTGGGTGTCACCGCTGGGCACTGGTGGATGGCACTGCTGGGCACAGGTGGGGCGGAACTGGTTGGTGGCACTGCTGGGCACCGATCATCAGGGCACTGATCATCAGTGCCCTGATGATCGGTGCCGATCCCTGCTCTGACAACTGCCGGTTCTCGGCAGTACTTTCCTTGCGCTCTGACAGCGTGAGGAAAGTGCAGCCGAGAACCGCAATTGCATTTCCCAGTGATCAGCGTGTCATTGGACACGGCTGATCACGTGGTAAAAGGCTGTTGTGCTTGGCCTTTTACCACATCACGTGATCATCTGTGTCCGTAGGACACAGCGATCACAGAGATCGCGGTATGCGTGCCCCCGGGGGCACGCAGGAGAGCGTGTTGTGGGAGGACTTCATATGACGCCCTCCCAGAACTAGCCGGCCGCAGTGTAGCCGTCATCTGTGGTTGGCAAGAAGTTAAACAAAGTTTTGCCCTTATCTATAATTTCATAACAGCTATATTACCCTATCAACCTTTTGAAGCTGATTTACTAAAGCAGTAAAACCTGCTCACTTTGCAAAGTACATTTTCACTTTACAATGGAATTTTCACTTTCTATAGTGAAAATGTGCTCTCCAAAGAATGTGTAGTCAGATGCAGGTGCAAATGTAAAAAATGTAATTTTGATGGCACATGACTGAATGATGAAAGTCTTCAGTACAGCTTCACCTCATTATCTAAGCTAAGTGAAAATTCACCTTGCAAAGTGAACAGGCTTTACTGTTTTAGTAAAGCAACCACATAATGTAAAAAAGAGGAGATGCATGCTGATATTTGATACGATTTGGCGACTAAAGAAAACTAATTATGGCATTTACCCCTTTACTGTAGTTATGAATCTTTAAAGTCTTTTTTTTGCATTTTAAATGATTGTAATATTACAAAAAAAAAAAACACATAAACATACAAAGTAAGCAAAATCAAGCCTCCTAGGCTTGCAGTTCTTTCCAATGGCAGGCCATAGATGGTGTGAATTTTTTTCCTGCAACCAGGGGGGCGGGGGAAGCCGTCCCCCCCAGGAGAAGACAGTGATTATTGCTAGTGACTCTCACAGGAGTTAGCAATAATCGCATGCAAAATCCAGCAGGCTGGTTGTACCCAAGTTGATCGATTGAGCCTTCCCATACATCTCTGGCATGCCCTAAACATTTGCTTGTTTTCATCCTGCTCTCTTGCTGGGATATCTTCTGGACATTTCCCTAAACAGGAGATTATGAATATATGTCAAGATATATATGTACATACACACACACGCATGTGTGTTTTTGCCTTAGGCTGCGCACATCTATGAATCCAATAGAGCAGGGGTGGGCAAACTTTTTGACTTGAGGGCCGCAATGGGTTCATATATTGGACCCGGGGGCCGGACCAAGAGTAGATGAATGATGTGTATGGGTCATCCATAGTAAGTATAGTAATATTCCCCCATAGTAATTAATCCCCCATATAGTAATTCATCCCCCATAGTAATTCATCCCCCATATGGTAATTCATCCCCCATATAGTAATTCATCCCCCATAGTAATTCATCCCCCATAGTAATTCATCCCCCATATAGTAATTCATCCCCATAGTAATTCATCCCCCATATAGTAATTCATCCCCCATATAGTAATTCATCCCCCCTACAGTAATTCATTCCCCATATTAATTCATCCCCCATATTAATTCATCCCCCATATTAAGTCCCCCCTGTGTCAATTCACTTACCTTTGCTCCATGCGTTCCTCTCGCCGTGTTCCCCCCCATAGCCGTTCCGGTGTAGCATGAAAATCTGTCTCCTATGAGGATCTGCCCCCCTCGATGTATCTGCGCATGTGCCAGTTTCAGGCATTAGCAGCCGATCGGCGATCTCCGGCACATGCGCAGATACGTTGAGGGGGACAGATCCTCATAGGAGACAGATTTTCATGCTACACCGGTCTTCAGGGCGGACTGTGAGAGGAGCCTAGCGGGAACCTAGCTCCGCGGGCCGGATTAAAAGGTCCGCCGGGCCGTATACGGCCCGTGGGCCGTAGTTTTCCCATTGCTGCAATAGAGCCAGGCTTTCTAAAATTTGTCATAATTACCTCTGTTGAAGGCAATAAGATCCTCCAGCTCCTGGCAGCATTGATCAAATGAGGAAGGATGGATCTCTTATGTGACTTCCTAAGGATATCGCTGTGGTGTGAAAAAAAGAAGTCAGGGTCATTTAGCAGTGGGAAATTAGTGCATTTTCTCACTGTATTTACAGGACTGTATTCATTAACATTACATAAATATAAGACACAGCAACATATAGAGGTAGATGCTTTTATAATACATGAACCTGGTAAAACTTGGCTAGACCATGTTTTGTTGTTAAAAGTATTGTCATCCTGTAGTTTCCATAATATAATCATTATTCTATATATTATTTATTATAACTTGAATCTTATTGCTGAAAAGTTACCTAATAATATAAGGCTCCATGCACACTAGCGTTTTTTAAGGTCCTATCAGCATTTTTATTTCTGCTCCTAGAAGCTAAATAGTGTTATCCTGTGTGTCCATGCACTACTTTAGGCTATTAGCATTTTTGGAGCTTCAGCGTCTAGGAGCAGAAAAAAAATTGTTTTTGTAGAGTTTTTTTTTTAAGCGTTTTTCCAGCAGAAAAAAAAATTTCTAAACGCTGGTAAGCACTACTAAAATGCTCCTAACAGCTTTTTTCTGCCTTTTTTTTTCCCTCTACATTTACTGTAAAAACGTTAATAAAATGCTAACGCTCCTAAACGTTTCTGACCGCTACTAAACTGCTATTACCTTTTTATCCAGCATTTTTTCCAGTGTTTTTTTGAGCTTAAAAAAAAATGCTAGTGTGCATCGAGCCTAAGTGATACTTATAGTTTCCTAATTACTATGGCTGAATGTTGTACCAATGTCAATCCAATACGCTGTAATACTCTGTACAATACTGTTGTACTCAATTGTATCACTGTAGTTAAAAATGAAATAGAACAAGTTTTAATAAAAAAAAGGGCCAGTCAATGTAAAACTTACCTTTCAGCTATGAGCGAATGTTAATGGAAAAGGCCTTACAGATTTTTCCTACCATAGGCAGATCTAAGGCATCTGGGGATTCTGAAATCTTAATGCCAGAAGAAGATACGACTCTTAAGGTTTATTCTACCTTTAACCTAAAATATCAGTTTGCGGACATGCCTTTTAAAAAGATGACCTTCAAGAATGATGCTGACAAAGAACAAATGTAAATTATTTGTATTCTTTAATTTTTTCAGAAGAAAAACAAGAAGGGATCTGTGGACATCACAAAGGTCAAATGTGTGGAAGTGGTGAAGAATGGAACGGACCAAGTGCCTTGTCAGAATAAATATGCATTTCAGGTATGGCTCCATCACAGTTCCTACTTTTTGGTTGGTTCTTCAAGGTTTCATAGGACTGGTAAAAGAATATGTAAACCCAAGAACAAGAATGTAATATTTTTAGGAGCTTAGAAGTGGTTACTGCATTCGTCTTAGCTTTTCAGGCTATGAATATTTTCAGGAAGTACAGAAAATACCTGTTGTCCTTGTAATTTCCCATGCGCTAAACTAGAAGCACAAAAAATGTTTGTTTTGTAAAGAAATGATCCCCTACCCCCTCCCATGTAAAGGAGATAAAGAGAGGAAGACATGTTTGTAGTTCAGTGTGGGTGACTAGCATGACCCCCTCCATAGAAATAGTGGAGGACAGTGTGCAGCCACCCAGGGACAGAAAGTGTGTTATTGACAGGATTATCAGAAATAAAATAAAAATAATACTTTCTCTGGTTTAGATACATTTTAAAGGAAACCTGTTGGGAGATAAATATTGAAACAGCCATTGCTGATTTCTCTGTTTGTAAATGTTAGTTTCTTGGCTGTTCATCCTGATCCTTTTAGTCAGTAACTACAGATAGGGAGATCTAAATTTAAGCTGGCCATATACATAAAGGGTCAGCAGGATAAATGTAAGAAATCCATAGATTCCCCCATTCACAATAAATAGCATGGATGTACAAATCTGTATTCTTGAAGCCAGCACCTGTACCTGTTAGAATACTCAAACAGTGACTGCAGTTAATAGGCTGTAGTCAATGTTTGTCTGGCTCTTTTACATCTTACTCCTTTGATTTCTTAATTTCTCCCTGCAGATACCACCCAGCTGGAACTTCAGCCAATTCACAGGAATTAGTCAAAATTCCAATATATGGCCAGCTGAACTCTAACTTCACTTGTTGCATACTTGTTCTGGATCAGTGACACATTGTGTACTGAAGGCAGACAGCCAGGAAAATGACTTTTTCAGAAGTGGGTCAGCAATGATAGTCTACATATTTTTTTTTCTTTGGTAGAACCAGCAGAAAATCATATAATTCCAAATGCTTTTTCTCTCTGGATTTTGTTCCTTTTCAAGATTTCATCCATGCTCAGCAGCCACCAAGTGGAATGAACAGGCCACACCCCAATGACGTTACTATACTATTATTTACCCCTCATCCACCCACTCCAATGCGTTACACCCAAAAAGGAATTAATCACGGAGAAGTGTCACTAAACCCAAAACTTTTCACTTGGCATTTGAAGTTATAATGATGTCCTTTTCTATACTGAGCATCTTTTCTTTTCCCATCTTTTATATTTAGATAAATATCTGGTTGATCTTGCCCATCTAATCTTCTCCCTCTTTCACTGTCAACAAAATAGCAGCCAATTCTGTGACTGATGGGGACAATCCTGCGCATGCTCCCTAAACTCTCCTTTTCAGTTTCTGCTTTTCTCTTCTCCAGCTGCCCCATGTAACAGCTGAGGCGGCTCTGAAGTTAGGACTTCAGGACAGCACTATTAGGTGTCATGAATAATAGGGGATTCCTCTCTGTAGTTTACCAGCCTCATGTTTCAAACAAAGCACAGACCTTAGGAACGGTTCACAGACTGCCTTTACCAGCAAAGCTACTGTTAAAAAGAATGTGCGAATGGCCTCGAAAGCGTTGTGTGCAACATGAGACTGGTAAACTAGGGAGAGGGATCCCTATTAATCCTGACTCCCTGTGTGAGAGCCTTGTTGCTACTGTATTGCAGCGACTTTGCAATTTGCATGGAGGTCTCTAGCCAGCTCCACCCATTGACTGTACATTGTGGTGTGGAGCAGGGGGGGAAATGTCACATGACTAGAATGTCCAAGGCATTCAAAATGTATTTAGGGTTTTGTTTTTCTTTAAAAAAAAACATGCATCCAGATACAGTGGGGAAAATAATTATTTTATCCCCTGCAGATTTTGAAAGTTTGCCCACTTACAAAGAAATGAAGGGTCTATAATTTTTATTATAGGTGTATTTTAAATGATAGTGACAGAATATCAACCAAAAATCCAGAAAAAAACATATGATACAAAAGTTATAAATTGAGTTACAATTCAATGGGCAAAATAAATATTTGATCCCTAAGCAAATCATGACTTAGTACTTGCTGGAGAAACCCTTGTTGGCAAGCACAGAGGTAAGAGGTATCTTGTAGTTGATTACCAGGTTTGCACACATCTCAGGAGGGATTTTGGTCCACTCTTCTTTACAGATCTTCTCTAAATCCTTAAGGTTCCTTGGCTGTTGCTTGGCAACTCGAAGTTTCAGGTTCCTCCATAAATTTTCTATAGGATTAGGGTCTGGAGACTGGCTGGGCCACTCCATGAGCTTAATGTGTTTCTTCTTGAGCCACTCATTTATTGCTTTGGCGGTATATTTTGGGTCATTGTCATGCTGGAAGACCCATCCACGACCCATCTTCAGTGTTCTGGCTGAGGGAAGAAGTCTCTCATCCAAGATTTTACAATACATGGCCCCATCCATTGACCCTTCAATGCGACAAAGTAAGCCTGTACCTTTAGCAGAGAAACAGCCCCAAAGCATAATGTTCCCACCTCCGTGCTTGACTGAAGGGATGGTGTTCTTAGGGTCATAGTCAGCATTTTTCTACCTCCAAACACGGCGAGTCGAGTTAATGCCAAAGAGCTCAATTTTAGTCTCATCAGACCACAGTACTTTCTCCAAATCCTTCTCTGAATCATTTAGATGTTCATTGACAAACTTCAGATGGGCCTGTGCATGTGCCTTCTTGAGGAAGGGGAGCTTGCAGGCGCTGCAGGAAATCATTACATGGTGGCATATTGTGTTACCAATGGTTTGTTGGTGACTGGTTCCAACTGCCTTGAGATCATTCACAAGCTCCTCCCGTGTAGTTCTGGGCTGATCCCTCACTTTTTTCATGAAATCTTGCATGGAGCTCCAGAATGAGGGTGAATGATGGTTATTTTGTATTTCTTCCATTTGCAAATAATTGCTCCAACGGTTGTCTCCTTCTCAACAAGCTTCTTGCTGCTAGTCTTGTAGCACATTCTAGCCTTGTGCAGGTCTACAATCTTGTCCTTGTCGTCCTATGAAAGCACTTTGCCCTTGATGGTGAGGTTTGAATGGAAGAAAGAGATTGTGTGGACAGGTGTCTTTTATACACATAACGAGCTGTCATTAGGAGCACCTTATTAAATTGTACCACATGAGCTCATAGCCAGTCTATGGAAGCCAGAATTATTGTTGACTGCTAGGGGATCAAATACTTATTTTACTCACTGAACTGCAACTCAGTTTATAACATTTGTATCATGTGTTTTTTCTGGATTTTTGGTTGATATTCTGTCTCTATCATTTAAAATACATCTGTGATAACATTTGTAGACCCTTCATTTCATTGTAAGTGGGAAAACTTACAAAACCTGCAGGGGATCAAATAATTATTTTCCTCACTGTATAATACTATTTAAACATGATATAAAGCAAAACATTGAGGCAGTGGGTTTAGTATCACTTTAAGTCCTTTCTGGGTGAAATGTGTTGAGGGGTTTGGATGGCAAGCGGGATGTCCTGCTGTGGACTTGCTGTGTGTCATTGAAATACATTAGTTTTAAAGCATTGTGACATCATCTATGTGCAGACTGTTCATTTCTCTTTTCTGATTGTTGGTTTCTTTAAAAGTGGGCCTGGGTAGTTTAGGACAAAACAACATATGATAGATGATAGCCATTGCAGTTCAGCAGTTAAATATAATATTTTATTACTCAAAGATAGCTAAAGCATTGTAGCCCATAACAAGCTGTCTGAAATCAAATGTTCTTTGTTCTGATAACACTAAACCACTAATTATGATTGGTTGCTGCAAGGTAGGATGTCACCACTTTTATAAAAGTTTGAATAGTTACAATCATAACTGTGTTCTATGCTCTAAGAATTCTGTGTCATGTACCTGGTTGGTAGACAAAGTCATGAAAGAGCTCCCCTTGCGGCTGAGTGCAGAGCACGCCTGAAGGTGGTGATAAAAAGTGCTGCACCCAAAAAAACACGGTTTTGCCAGCTGTGTAGTTGCCTTATGATCTGAGATGATGAGACACCTGATGGAGACTGGACCGGGCAGGCATTTCAGCAGGGCAGATGACACTCGGATTGTGCAGGTGGATCTTGACAGCTGAGCAGGGCAGGAGGCAGAGTCAGAAGCCAGGGCCAAGATCATTCACAGGTAGTCGGTCAGGAACAAGAACAGGAGCATTGTCAAGATCAAGCCGGGGTCATGAACAGGAAAGCAGAAATTATCACATCCTGTGTGCGCCGTCATACACAGATGTGCGCAAGTGTACCGCCGTACGCTTGTGCACACAGGCACAGACCCAGGTATCCGTACACAACATCTGCGTGCATTCTTGCGCAAATTAGCGTGACCGTGCTGGTTATTGCCAAATCTACCAGTTCTTCATTGGTTAGTTCCCTGAGACATAGCAAGGTCTGTACCTAAAGCTGGCCATAGCTCAAACAAAAGTTTTCATAGCAAACTTACCAGCTAGCCAGCAGGAATAAAAAAACAAAATGACCCTGTCTAACAATTTGTGTTAAAAACACAGGATATGGGTGCACATATTTGCAAAAATATGTGGAAGCCGCACTATCTCGTTAAGGCCCCTCGGTATAGTGCAGTCCTAACTCTTATGCTTGAAAGTATACACATTGGAACATATATAGCAAGGGGACAAATTAAGGACAGCTATGCCTGCGGGAAGTCCAGTCTTCCTTAAAGGTGCAGGTACACCTCAGAATCCCAGCAAGAACACAGTGGCAGCTGAAGGCATCAAATGTGTCCCCACACCAATTCCAGTAAGCATGCAATAAAAAAAAAAATGTCAACCGCCCCAATTTATAACCTGGCCACACATGCATTGAATTTTGTCCAATTCTTACCCTATTCGCTGAAAATTTGTTCTGTTGAGGGGCCCTGTTGGCAACACTTGGATGACAAAAGTTGACGTTTTTTAAATCAACTTTTGTCTAAGGAGCAGGGTGGAAAATTGACCACAGCAGGAGCTTTGTCCATCTATGCTGTTTAGCATGGATAGAGAAATCTGTTATTTTTTCTAACTTTCAGCCCCCATGTGTTTCTGACCATCTTTATTGTGTGGTGGTGTTTTTTTTTTATCAAGAAAATCAGCTGATTACTTAGAAATCCTCTTCATACCTAACACCTTCAGTTTTTTACATGTATATCAGTAGAATCAGTGACTTATCTTGGAGTTTTGACCACTAATGACATCCTGTTTGAGCTCATTTGAAGTTAGTATGGTATGTCAGTCTAATATTGTCTTGTTTTCATTGTATATTTCCAGGTTGTCTATGATGCAAACACACTGTACATTTTTTCCCCAACCTCAGAGAGCCGTGACCAGTGGGTGAAATGTATGAAAGAAGGTGATCATTTTCTGATATTCTCTAAGGATTGCCTAGTTTTCTCAGTTTATAAATACTATTTCAGATTCATAGGGGGGCAGGCATTCTATTACACAGCAAGGCAGTGCACACTTGCTGTTGGGGAGGGGGGGGGGGGGGGGGGTGCATAAAAACAGACAGTTGAGCTGCATTTTCTACCACCTAACCTTAAGCAAAGGCACATGGTTGCAGTGTGGTGGTGTGGCATTTACAAGGGTAACATAGGCGGTGAGGAAGCGATATCACCTCACTGCCTGTAAACCGCCTCTGAAAAGTGCTGTAGTGCAGTTTGTGTGGATTAGGGAAAGCTGAATTCTAAGTATGGAACTGTGCTAAAGTAACAACCTAATCCTGAATTCTGGAGCCCTGCATTGTGGTAAAACCCCATAGGAGTTCTAATCTTTCAGCACTCCATCAAAAACTAAAAAAAAGTTTTTGCTGGGCAAAAACATAAAGTAAGATGTAGTAATAGATCCAAATGGCAGAGATAAAGCACACCATACATTCCTGACATGCCACAATATGCAGTAACAGCGTTGTTTTTCAGAAAAGGTCCACCTTCATTCTTTGAACATCCATCTTTGAGCTAAAGTTTGTGACTTTGAGTTTCCTCTCCCCTCAGTGATCAGACTTCAACTTTTTAACTGTATAGCAAGACAAAATGTCAATGGCTGCAGGGACTGATCTGTGTCAGACATTTGTCAATAAAGCTAAACACTACACAGGCACCAATATTTACATGACTGTGTTATCTCTGAGCTGCCATCTCAGTCCAGGAAATGGATGGTGACCCTTGATAATGTCTGAAAAATGCGGTTGCCCTCTGTTAGGAGAGAAAAGCAGACAAAGGGATTGTCAGGGGAGTACTGTGATCTCTGTGAGAGATAATAAATACCCGGAAGTGTAACAATGGCATATTACTAAGCATGACCCATCTCTTCAGGGAAGCCTACCCCACCCTCACCTAACGGCCATTCTCCCTCTTTCCTCCCACCCCTCATTCCCCTCAGCCACTTCCTACTGTACCTTTACCCCCTCCCACCTAGATTGTAAGCTCGAAAGAGTAGGGCCCTCTTACCCCTCGTACGTTGTTTGTTGTTTTTGTACTGTGCCATGTATTGTCCCCCCCTCTATTGTACAGCACTGAGCAAACCCTTTGGCGCTATATAAACTCGAAGTAATAATTTAACATGAAAACATTTGTCTGATGTCAGGCCCAATTTAAAGGATAAGTGCACTTTTGTAAAATAAATAAATAAATAAATAAATACACATTTTTTTTGCAGGTAAAGAATGTGCATTTATTATTTTTTTTTTCTCAGAAGCATGCAGAGCATTTCACCCACAATCAGCATTTACTGAAAAGCAGGAATAAATAATGAACAAGGGAGTTCATTGAGAACTGCAGTCCATCTGCCGCGGTGACATAAGGGATGTAAATTTCATTCATTCACAAAACTCTGTGAAAGAAGGACATGACTGTATGGGTGGAGTCCCGCACAGCTGCACTGTTTTTAAATTGTGACAGTGGGTGTGGGGAGAGGATCCCCCGCCTGCTGTTGCAATGGGGGATCATGGGGGGGGGGGACTGTTTTAGTAACATGTTACATGTCACACCTTGAATACGAGTGTAGCATGTAACATGTTACCAAAGGTGAATATGGCCTTTAAGTTGACCACAGTCATTGGATTTGATATACTAAAGGAGAATATGTTCACCGTGCAAAGTTAAATGATATTAAAGCCTAGCTCTAGGAGGAAGCCCACATTTAGATTATGATTCTCATTCATTTGTTTTCTCCTGCAGCCAGTCGCCAAGCTGCAGGCACCCCCACCTGTTTGTGAGTGGCTCCTTAGCTATCAGCTGCTGTCTCTCCCTCCAGCAGCAGAAGAGGGGGGGAAACTGGCTTTCAGCTGCTGGAGGGAGAGATACACAGTGCATCATTCTGCAATTGCCCTCCCTCACCCCATCGATCCTCCTGCTGGTGATACCCCCCTGATAGCAGCCCTGGGGTCAGTCCTCCCCTGCTCACCAGGTCCCTAGAATTTGCCACCCTAAGCAAACACCTTGTTTGTCTCACGGTATATACAGCGCCGGTTACACCTGTATTTAGGGTGAAATACGTAACTCGCTGCAAAGGGACCCCCCCCCCCCAGTCCCAGTGACAGCATGTTGGTGTTCCTCTCCTTTTTTTGGGGTGAACTTAGCCTTTAATTTTTTTACTTGGCTTGGTGAATAAAGGGCAATCTGTGTTAAATTCAATCACCTCTTTTTTATTTAATTCAATCAAACTTCTCCTTTTTTAAATTATATTATATGTTCACATAGAATAAAAACATAGAAGAGTGATGGCAGAAACAGACCAAGTGGTTCGTCAGTCTGGCCCTTTCTCTAATGTTTGTGTCTGAGTATCTGAGTATAGATCTGTTTGTCTCAAGCATCTCTGAATCCACTTACTGTTGACAGAAGCAAAAGAAAAGTCTTCCACACAGATCACAAGCGTTCCATGTTTGTTGTAGAAACTTTCCATACACGTGACAATGGCAGCCCGTGCCTAGGACTGTCCTGCTAAAGCGTTTCACTTAATCAGGGCTGAATTGTAGATACGATTAAACCCTGATCAGATGATATGTGCAAATGGAGCAGTCCTAGGATGGAGACTGCCATTGCCATGTCTATGGAAAGTTTCTACAATAAACATGGACACTTGTGATCTATCCAATGTGCAGCAAACTTTTCTTTCACTACCTTCTATTGCTCCCAGCCTCCTCCAAACCTCCAAATTCCTGTTTTGTTTTGTTTTTTTGCTGTTGTGATCCAACTTTCTGTTAGAGGGTGGCGATGTAGCCACATTCTTTTACTCTCTACTGACATGGACTAGGGACTATGGGATGTGTAGTGTGCATAGAGCAGTGCACATGACCACTACTAACATGTACTGTTCGTTACAAACAAATGGAAGTCAGGGGAAAAACGAGAGCTTTGGGAGCTCATGGAGGGCTACAAGGAAGAAGAAAAGCACCGTAAGAAGCAATTTCATAACAAATCAGATTACATTCTATTAAAGTGATAGTAAAGGCTCGAATTAAAAAAATAACGGATGTGTTATACTTACCTGCTCTGTGTAATGGTTTTGCACAGAGCAGGCTCGATCCTCTTCTTCTCTTCTGGCGTTCCTGGCCCCTCCCCCCTGCTCAGTGCCCCCATAGCAAGCTTCTTGCTATGGGGGCACTGGTATATGCTTGTACATGCTAGCTCCCGAGCCTGCTCTGTGTGTCAATGAGACACACTGAGCACGACTCAGCCCCACCCCAGCTCTCTCCTGACTGGATGTGATTGACAGCAGTGGGAGCCACTGAGAAGAGAGAGAGACCAGGGAGAGCCAAGGCTTCTGTGCACAGCACTGGATTGAGATGGGGCTCAGGTAAGTTTTAGGGGGGAGCAACACACAGAAGGTTTTTTTACCTTTATGCATAGAATGCATGAAGGTAAAAAACCTTCAGTCATTACATCCACTTTACGTAGTGTGTGTGAATGGATTATATTTGAAAGATGATTATATTATTTAGTGTTACTTTAAGCCATGCACAGAATTCTCTCATTCAGCCTACGGCATGTGTCCATATATAGCCGCTTTATCTTGAAGATGTTTTTTAATTCTCTGATAACCATTGTGTTCATTGTAGGAATAAAGAACAACAACTATATCTTACACAAATATCACCCCAGTCTTTGGTCAGATGGTGTTTATCAGTGCTGCAGACAAACAGAGAAAATGGCTGCAGGATGTGAGGCATATAATCTCTTTGGAGGTAGTAAGTAACTTTTAATTAATCATCTAACTCATGCATATAAGCCTCGTTATATGTTTCTAAACCCAAAAACAAACATTTTATATATTGCAGTGTACTAGTCAGACATGGTGGCTACATATTTTTTCTTTTTTCAAGAATTTTTTTCTCTGTTTTTCACCTGGTGATCCTGCCAGTAACACATTTTCTGTACTCGGATGACAACGCTTACTCACTGTACTGTACTGATGAAAGAGCAACATTGTCTCCTGGACTGCTCTTATGGTTTGGATGAAAAATATAGATAGTGAATCTACCTAGTGGGACACAGCAATAGAAACAGACAAGGGTTCTATTCCTTCCCCACTATGTCAAACTGGAAACAAAATTTGGGCTATGGGAACATTTTAAAAATTTAATATATTTCTCATATATAATGTCTCATATCTAAAAAGCTAATCTGTCAGTTATTTTGGAGATCATTTTTCTTGTTTCCAAAAAAATGTGTTGTGATTTTTTTTAGATTAATTTTTAATATTTCTGACAATAAAAATTTGTCTTATTAACTTATGCCTTCGTCTTTGTTTCTTTTACCCAGCATCAAAGCCCCTGCCACCTACTCCAGATGCTAAGGTAAGACCAGGAGATGGCCTTAAAGCATATGTACATGTCTCTGTACACACTGGGAGGCATGGTAATACTCCTGTCTGCTTACAGATATTATTTAGACTAGCAAAAGTGTGCCTGTTCCAGGATAAGCAAGGTTGAGGCTCTATGTACACTACACATCCCATAGTCCAGACAACAATGTTTTTGTCTAGGCTCCAACAAACTCAGACTTAAAGGATAAGTTCACCTTTCGTAACGTGTTACATGTTGCGCATTCAGGGTGTAACATGTTAGGATCAGACTGGCCCCTGCTCCCCCCCGATCCCCGCTTTGACAGCTAGTGGCTGTCAGCATGTAGTCCTCAATGAACTACCACGGCGCTGTGAAGCACTGTGGTAGTTCATTCATTCTTCCTGTCAGTATATCTGCTTGATCGTACATCCCGAGCTGCTGATCGCTAGTGCAATGTTTTACAGGCTCCTGCAGACAAAAATAATAAATGCACATTTTTTTACCTGCAACAAATGTGCCTTTATTATTTTTTTTCTAAAAGGTGAACTTATCCTTCAACCACTTGCCAACAGTGCTATAACCGAATGATAGCTACAGCACGGTTGTCCAGTTCTTGGAGGGCATCATATGATGTCTTCCCAGAACACGCCTCCCACGCACCCCCATCGGCAAGCATCCTACGGACACAGCTCATCACATGAGGTAAAAGGCCAATCACAGCAGCTTTTTACCACCAAGTGACCAATGACACAGCAGATCACAATGTAAATACAGTTGTCAGTTATCGGCAGCACTTTCCTTACGCTGTCACAACGTGAGGAAAGTAATGCTGATAACCGGCAAATGACACAGAGAACATCTGCCCCAATCATCAGGGCACCAGCAGTGCCACCCAGCAGTTGCGTCCATCAGTGCCGCCAGTCAGTGCTGTCAGCCAGTGCCACCCATCAGTGCTGCCTATCAGTGCCCATCAGTGCAGCCTGTCAGTGCCCATCATTTCTGCATATCAGTGCAGCATCATCAGTGCCTCCTCAATGCCCACCAGTGCCGCCTCATCAGTGCCACCTCAGCAGTGTAGCTTATCAGTGCTGCCTATCCGTGCCACCTCATCAGTGCCCATCAGTGCTGTCTATCAGTGCAGCCTCATCAACGCACATCAGTGAAGGAGAAAAATTACCTGTTTGAAAAAAATAAGTCTTTGTTTCTATTATAAAATTTTACAAATTGTTGCTCTTTTTTTGTTTATAGAGCAAAAAATAAAACACCCAGTGGTGATTAACCATTAGCCGCCCGGCCAATGGCCGTTTGGCGGCTTCAAAAGTGTTGCTGCATTCCGGGTGCACGCCATTTGGCGTGCTCCCGCACATGCGCAGTTTGCGCTAATGCAGAGCGGCACAGCAGCGCGATCTGTCACCGGCCGTGTACCTCGGACACGGCCGATGACAGGTCCGAGTACCGGCTCCCGTTGCTGGTACCATGTGACCTGCTGTGACCAATCACAGCAGGTCACATGACAGTTGTATACAATGGATGGCTTCATTCATGCCATCCATTGTATACTAGTGCCTAGCTGTGAATGGTCACAGCTAATCACATGCACATGTCATGTGATTAGCTGTGACCAAATCACAGCTAAGCACAAAAAAAAAAAAAAAAAGGCTGAATGAATCGATTTCATTCAGGTAAATACTTGCTTATAGCAAAGTAATTCTTTGCTATAAGCAAATTGTGTAAAAAAAATAAAATAAATAAATACTGATCACTTCCCCAAAGTAGTACAATGTTACTATGGTAACATTGTACTACTTTGGTCATAGTAAAAAAAAAAAAAAAAAAAAAATAATAAAAATTAAAAATAATAATAATAATAAAAAAAAAAAATATATATTTTTTTTTTTTCATACTGTCACCAGTCAATGTCCCTGTTCACCGCCATGCCAGTTATATGATGACGCTGTACTGCACTGGTGACAGTATGTAAAAAAAAAAAAATAGTGAAAATATTTTTTTTAATTTTTTCATTTTCCGAAAAATTATGACAAAAAAAATACAACTTCAAAAAAACTCGCCATGCCTCTTATGAAGTACGTCAGACTGTCTACTGACAGGGGTCATTTGGGGATATCTGTACTATTCTGACATTCTTGGACCTCAGGAAATTAGATTGGCTGTCAGTACTTCAGGATTGATCAATTTTCTATATACTTTCCTTCAAACTAAAAATAATACATCCTAATTTGTGTTATTTTCACCAAAGACATGTAGCAGAATACATCTCGGCCTAAATTTATGAAGAACAATTATTTATTTGTAAACTTTTATAACAGAAACAAAGAAAAATGTGTTTTTTTTTCAAAATTTTTGGTCTTTTTTTGGTAATTTAGCAAAAAATAAAAACCCCAGCGGTGATTAAATACCACCAAAAGAAAGCTCTAGTTGTGTGAAGAAAATGATAAAATTTTAGTTTGGGTACAGTGTTGTATGACCGCGCAATTGTCATTCAAAGTGTGAGAGCGCTGAAACCTGAAAAATGGCAGGAAGGTGTAAAATTGCACGGTATTGAAATGGTTAAATACCACCAAAAGAAAGCTCTGTGTGTGAAAAAAATGATAAAAAATTTCATATGGGTACAATGTTGCATGACCGCGGAATTGGCATTCAAAGTGCGATAATACTGAAAGCTGAAAGGGGGTACAAGGGGGGTAAAAGAGCCTGGTAGGCAAGTGGTTAAGGGATGAGGTGTCCATTCTTTGATTGTACTGCTGTAAAAGCCAACTGAGTCTTGCAGTTAGAAGAAGCATGACAAACAAAAGGAAAAGTGCAGTCATGAGAACTGTAGTAATAATGAGGCAAGGTTAATGAATACTCCAATGCCCTTAGTAGGACTGTCTGTCTGTGCCTCCAAACAAGCATTAAACATGCAACTCACATATCAAATGTGCTCATTCGCCCAGGGATAAATAAACCACATAGTGCAAAAAATTAGTCAAAGGAGTATAAATAGGCTATCCTAGGAAATGTTTTCCAATCAGAAAAAACAGTGTCTACAAAGGTAAAAAAAGTGTCCATTTTAATAGAAAAGCAATGAAAATGTGGTGGGTTGCAGGTGTGGTGTTGGGAGTAGAGGACCAAAATTAGATTCAAGGCATTACATGTAAATTGAGAGAAGCATACACAGGCTTGGTGAAAGAGGGGATACAGGTACAATGGTAATGGAGGGTGCACAGCTGTGGTAATGAGAAAGGGGACATAGAGGTCCAGTGTTGGGGGGGCTTTGAGCAGGCATGAGAGGAGAAATGCCTACAGTAGAGGTGCAATGGTGAGGGGAGAAAATAAAGGCGCAGTAGAGAACAAAGGGTGGATTGAGCAGGAATAGATGAAGAGGGCTGCAGTCATGGTGATAAAACAGGGGGCGTGAAGGTATCCTGATGAGAGTGGGGTATGGGGTGGATAATGTAGATTAGATGGTTGTCAAGGTCCTACCTTTCCTCAGGACTTGTGCTGCTCCATGTGCTGGCATCCATTTTAGGTGTCTGCAAAGCATTGTGGGATCCTTTATGCTTTCTACCCCCTGCGGCTCCTCCCCCAGGAGGTAGCAGCTTATCACATATAAGTCTGTAATCGCTTTACTGCCTCTCTGCCTCGGCCTTGTCCTATCCGAGTTGTCGGTCATGAGGAGTATGAGGTGAGCCGCATCCTGGACTCCTGGTTTCCTTCTGCGGATGTTCATGCTCCTGCCCTCCTCTGCGCTTTTTGCGTTCGCTTTCCCCAGAAGCCTTATGTTGAGCCGCAGAGGGGGAGGGGGCCCTTGAGGAGGAGGTAATGTCAAGGTCCTACCTTTCCTCAGGGCTTGTGCTGCTCCATGTGCTGGCATCCATCTTAGGTGTCTGCAAAGCATTGTGGGATCCTTTATGCTTTCTGCCCCCTGCGGCTCCTCCCCAGGAGGTGGCGGCTTATCACATATAAGTCTGCTGTTTGTAACTGTCCATTGCATTTGTGTCCTGTCTGTTGCACAACATCAAGCTCCTGTTTAGTTTCTCATTGCTCTCCTGGATACCGACTCGGCTTTGGCAAGACTCCTTCCTGTCTTCTGACCCCGTCTCTGGCGACCATCCTTCCTGGCTTCTGACACCGGCTCTGGCGACCATCCTTCCTGGCTTCTGACCCTGGCTCTGGCGATCATCCTTCCTGGCTTCTGACCCTGGCTCTGGCGACCATCCTTCCTGGCTACTGTTCTACCAAGTCATCCGCTGTTGCTGTTGGACTTGCATAGACTCTGTCTTGTTTTTGTATAATAAACCTACCTTTTTCATTGCACCTCCTTGTGTGTCTGGCTCCTCGCTCCCTGACACTGGTGTTGGGAGCAGGGTTGTGGTGGGAATAGAGGGTAGTGTACATGTGAGATGGTGGGGTGGGAAGTTTGTGCATGCAGGAGGGGTATGGTGCACTAAGCAGCATCTACAGAGATGCTGCCAGCCAGCCAAAATGATGTTAGGAGTGCTCCCTCCCTGCACAGAATCTGCCCATTTCTCCGCTCACAGTGCCTGAGATTCTGACAAAAGGGATGAAGTTATGCTAATAACTTTAAAGTTCTCTGAGTCAGTGACCTGGAATAATCATGGAAAACATTTCTGACTTTACTCTCTGCACACCTGTACCAGGTCAGATACATTTAAAGTAAACCTGTCAAAGACTTGAGTATTTCAAAGTTCACTATGAAAAATTCATGAATACAGGTTACCTCTAAGGTGAAACCATGTCTAAGCAATTAGGAAATACCAACCTGCAGGCTGATAAAATTATATATATTAAAATAAATACAAATATCCTTATCCTCATATGCAGGTCTCAGTATACCTTTGTGGAGCATGTGTTGTGGCAGGGAAAGCCACATTTTGGAACACATTCTGAGAGCCTCCTTTCAACGTGTTTGTTCAAGGCCAAACATTTGCGTCTCCTTCCATACTTTGTAGTACACTAGCTTGATGCAAAATAAATAGTGTAGAATAGCTCCTGGTGTATTGTGTCAATTTATTTTTTACATGGTTCAGAATGTCTATGCTGTGATTTCCTGATTAGAAGTAGAGGGGGTAGACATACATGTATGGGCAGTTCATAAAAGTATTTTAATAGAAAGGGTTTATATTTTTCTAAAAATTGTGTATTGAGGTCATGCAGCTAATACCAGTAATATGCATTAAGTTTCCTGATGCTTTTCTTTCTTTTTAGAAAAGGCCTCCACCTCCTTTGCCTCCAGCACAGGATCAGGTGGATAAAAAAAGAAGAGGATATAGCAATTGCAATGTTTGACTTTCATCCCGTGGAGCCCCATGACCTTAGACTGACCATAGGGGAGGAATATGTGGTTCTTGAAAAGAAGGATGTGCACTGGTGGAAGGCAAGAAATAAGTATGGGTAAGGGAAATGGCCAAATATCATTTCAGTAGCTGATTCATACTATAATGCAAGAACGTGGCCAGTAGTAATGCAGTCAAGACATATTTTGACAGGAGCTTATCTGGATTTCATTCTGTTTTGGCACAAGTGAATAATAAAAGTCTTTGCATACTGTCTGCCCTGTTTCTCTATCACTAAAATAATGACAATTAAAATCAGATTGTTTTGTTGGAGGCAACAAGATATTTGGTATGTGTACAGAGCCATGAATAGGCTGTACAGTCCACCAGCAAAGACTGTGCAGAGGTAGTGAACATTGATGTGTGTCATTATATAACTATATAGAATCTTGATCTCAGTAGATGGTGCACTTTTCTCTCCCACTGAAATAGTCATGATTCTGGATGTAGCACTGCAGTTCCAAGGCATGGAGATATGGCAGAATAAAATTGTAGAAAATATACGTTGTGCTTTGGTGACACTTTCTCTAATTCAGGCCATAAACATTTCCATTGAACTTAGGAGATGATATTCTTGACTATATGCACCAGTGAAGTACAAAGTACAAAGTTGTTTCAACCGCTGCCCCACAAACCCTGATTTTGAAAGGGCAAGTATAGGTTCAGATAATATATTGGCCAAACTGATATTTGCAGAGATAATAGCCCCATCTCCTTGATTAATTACATAAGAATGTTGTTTATTTAAAGGTAGTTTATATACCGGTAAATAAAAATGAACATTTCCTATATACTGGTAAGTGACCACAGTAATCTAATCACTTTTTGACAAATTTACTGTAGAAGCTGCACTTGATAAATACATTTTAATATGTACATTAATCCATATATCATCATATTTTCCCAAAAAACACCCATATTAGAAAATTTGCCTAGTTCTCTTTAGTGGAAGGATTTGATCTGTTTACCCAAAAATATGCATGTTTTCCTTTAACCTCTGACAAATTCCCTTACCGATTGCATAATCTGGAAGTTTAGCATTTATATTGACAATTTCGATCTGCTAAATATGATTGGACCTGTCGCTGGGTTGGGTAGAGTAGTCCAAGCTAGCTATAGCCTTGTTAAGGTATTTTTAAGAAAGAGATTACATTTCAATAGCACTGCTTGTGTCGTATGTTGAACAGTTTTTAAAGTAATAATTAGTAATAGAAGTCCTTGCAGTAAATGTATAATCAAATCTGAACTCCAAGGTAAACAACAAAATACAAATAGTTAAAAAACTTGTATTTAAGTTGTGTACTTGACAAAACAGTTGTTTTATACAACTGGTATTGTGGTCTTAAAAAATTGGCAGAGGGCATAGCCAGGTCTACTTTAGTTCAGAAAAAATTACTTACACTTCCCCTACTTATCGACTGGACACTGAAGAAATAATCAGGTGATCATCCGCTTTATATTCTAGCTAACAAGCTCCCAATATTGGATAGGAAAGGAGTGAGAACAGTATGAATGTGGACAGTATGTACAGGAGAAAATAACGGAGGGTACAGCACTGGGCAGTATGTACAAACGAGGTGTGCAGAGGGTATGACAGCAGGCAGTATGTGTAGGAGAGGGCTGTGAAGGATATGGTTGCATCAAGTCAGAGAGGCCCTTACACGCCTGTTCTTCACAGATTTCAGCTTTTTTTGCATTCTGCATCTGAGGCTTCCCCACATCAGCGGCATCAAACTTCTAAGGTAGGCGGTGGAAAGACCCATTGGATCTACTCCCCTTCTACACAAACATTGGTGGGCTGGGAAGGAGACAGCAGCACATGGTGGAAAGCTGTCCCGCCATCCCTGTGGCCATCTATCTTGCCAGCTGATCACAAAGGCAGCCACTGAGCCACAAGACAATGGCTGGGCTAGTATAGAGAAAGGGGAAGGATGTGTGGAATGTGTGCTCTGGAGGCATAGACTGCTCCGCATTCTGCAAGAACTTTGGTTTGAAGGGAGCAAAGACAAGTAATGTGGGGATCCAGGGACAGACAGAAGTATAGCTGAGAGATGTGAAGTGTTCTCTGATGTCCTCAGTCTCTTCAGCAGAAGTGTTGCAGCCTCTCCTCCTCGCACATCACTGAGTATAGCAATTGTCCTACTGGAGCATGGAGGTGGATGGGATTGAGTTTAGCATGACAGAATTATATTGGGCATGGGGGGGGGGGGGGGGTAAGGTGGGGAGTGTGGGGACACCAGGGGGTCAGACAAACAGGAAAAAGGGGGGAGAAATCACTAGTGGTGGCAAAATCACACAGTGGCAAAATTAAACTCTGATTCATGCATTATTACCCAGAGAAAAAATGAAACTATGCTGACAAAACCATACTCAAACTTAGCTATTATTAGGGATATAAGTGGATAAAATGGTGATATTTTATATTTATCTAGACTTGGGGTGGTAACTTTTTCCTGGAAACATGTATTTTAACCCTTCTATTATACATCCAAGCAGTACTGTTAACACAGACACATGTTGCAAAGTTAAATATAGTTCTAATTTAAAAATAGTAAGCCCTTGTGTGAAAATCCTGCATGTGGGCCTTGTTTTGACATTTTTGTACTTCACCATTTTCTTGCATAGAGGATATTTAAATCTTCTCACCTTGGCTTACCAGGCAGAACTTTAAAGACATGCTTATACACATGATGCCCTCACTGTGTCTCATTTTAAAATCTGAAAACGTTTCCCTATTGCACTGAAACATTAAATTATGCCACAACCTCAAACCAAACCAAAATTATAAGGATTTCACCTCATGTGCGCCTATGTGACTTGGAAAGTATGCAAATGCTAATGCTTTATTCCAGTAACTGCTTGTTTTTCTCATTTTAGACAGGAAGGCTACATTCCCAGCAACTATGTGACAGAAAAGAAACTAGACAATCTAGATCAATATGAGTAAGTTGTTAATTTTATGTTCTAAAGTGTCTCAATCACATGATGTGCGGTTTTACAGCATTGCCATAAAGTTACTGCACTTTAGCTAATGCAAGCCAGATATTTACACAGGAAAAAAGCAGAACATCACTCTCTTGGAAAACCAGGATATTTGTTTTAAAATGCAACTGTTAGACCAGAAAACACAACCTGTTACCACTTTTACCCAATTCCATCCAATGGAAGTACAGTCCATTATGTTGCATTTTGTAAATATTTGCCTCTGCCTTCCTCTTTACTGCCTTCACTTCACTGCTAAGCTTGATCTTTCTAGCTCAGCAATTAAATGCTGAGGTTAGAGAGTGGTCTTGTCACGTATGGTTTGGAATCTTTGACCCTCTGTGCAGCCTGTATGCTATCACGCGCATACAGGTAGTAGTATACTACGACACACATGATCACTAGGAGTGCTGAGTAGTGCACAGAGACACACAGGAATCACTAAAAGCAGAACAGAAGAGCACAGGGACACAAACCAAGAGGCAGACGTGGAACACAAAGTGAGACAATGAAGCAGGCTATAGACTAGGAGTGCACAGGTGCTAGTAACAAATGTCAGGCTGAAACTTACATGTGCTCACATAGGTGCAGGAAGGCTGGGAGCTGGAAAAGGTACACAGAGGAGCTAGAGGCACATCCCATGAAAGAGCAAGTGGTGACACCTTAACTTAAGTAACCATTGACACCAGTGACCATCAGCTTCAATAACCACTGATCACCACTGTAAGGTGTCTCTTCTTCCACTCACCACAAATGATCCTTCAGGTTTGGAAGGGTCGTGTGTGTCTATGCGGGTCAATAGGATTGTCTATAAGACTGCTAGATCAAACCAGTTCTCCCATGCCATTGAAAAAATCTTAGCAACCCTAGACAACTCTTCTGCACCATTGATAGATAAAAACCTTGCTGTCCCTCCACAGGATCAACACAGCTCTATAATACATTCTTAGATGTTTCTCCTCAAAAATTTACAAAATAAGGCATCAAACTCTTTTCACACCATACTTATCTTCCACATCGCTTCCTGACCCACCCAGTTTTACTGGTTCTCCTATCTCCCACTTCTCTCTACTTGACTCTGCATCTCTGATTAAATTGGTCTCTAAAATTACATTTTCCACCTACATACTTGATCTTACTCCCATCCATTTATTGAAATCCTGTTTCATTTCTCCATACCCCATTGTTCTCAATATCATAAATGACACCGTAAGCACCAGTTTTCTACCAACAATCCTCAAAAACTGCCCCTATCACCCCGGTACCAAAAAAACTCAATATGGCTCTGGACATTTTAAACAACTTTTGCCCAATATCTTACTTACCCTTCCTTGCCAAAATCCTTGAGTGGGCTGTGATTTCTCCGTTACATAACCCCCTGACTTTAAATAATCTTTTGAACCCCTCCAATCTGGTTTTTGGCAAATGCACAGCATAGAAAACGCCTTGGCCAAAGTCACTAACAACCTTCAGTTAGCTTCTGATTCCAGCTCCCTAAATATACTTATTCTACTGGATCTTAGTTTTGCCTTTGATACTGTATACCACAATCTCTTACTTTCTCACCTTGAAACCAAATATGGTGTCTCAAAATTGGCTTTGAAATGAATTAATTCATATCTTACTGATTGCTGTCACTTTGTTTCTCTTGGCGGATTCCAGTCTGAAATCAGTCCAGTCAAATTCGGTGTTCCTCAGGGTGTAATCCTGGGTCCCTTACTTTTTAGCATTTACGTTTCCACTTGGCCAACTGCTTAGATCACATGGGCTCAATTATCACTTGTATGCTGATGACACTCAGATATACATCCACACAAAACTGGATTCTACTTGGGCTGCTTTTCTCCTATCCAATGTATTTGTGATATAAAAACTTGGATGGCCCACAATTTCCTTCAATTAAACTTTGACAAGACTGAAGTCATGTTTATTGGCACCCCATATCAGTTATATAAGTCCGTCCTGACATCTTATCTATAGTTGACTCTGTACTTGGGCTTCAGTCTACAGTGAAAAATCTAGGAATGATATTTGATGCTAGTTTAACCTTCGATCCTCATGTACAAAATGTTGTCCAAACATCTTTTTTCCACTTGGGAAACATTGCTTCGCTGCGTTCTATGCTATCATACACTTTAGATGAAAAGCTGAACGATACATTTGTGTTCTCCTGACTAGACTACTGCAATGCTCTACTTGCTGGTGTACTTAAAACTACTATTAATCAACTACAATATGAACAAAATTTTGCAGCCAGAATCCTCACGAGGTCTGGTACAAGTGACCATATTACCCCTTTCCTGGAGTCCTTGCACCGGCTACCCATCAAGATTCGCATAGACTTTAAGATCCTCTGGTCACCAATAAGGCTGTTCATGGCTTGGCGCCTGGTTATCTGTCTGTACTTCTGTGTGTCTGCCCTTCTCACCTACACTCAATGGGAGACAGAGCCTTCTCCTTCTATGCCAAAAAACTCTAAAATTCACTTCCAAAGAACATCAGAGAGTCATGTTCTCATTCAAATCAAATCTAAAAACTTTTTTCTTTAGACAAGCTTTCACGTAATTGTCTCTTTTTTTTCCTTTGTTTTATCCTGTGTATTTCTTTAACCACTTGCCCTCCTGAGGATTTACCCCCCCTTCCTGACCAGGCCATTTTTTTGCATTATGGTGCTGCGTTACTTTGACTGACAATTGCGCAGTTGTGCAACACTGCACCAAATTAAATTTACGTCCTTTTTTTCCACTATTGAGTTTTCTTTCGGTGGTATTTGATCGCCTGTGCGGTTTTTTATTTTCTACGCTATAAGCAAAAAACTGACAATTTTGAGAAAAAAAAACTATATTTTGGACTTTTTGCTATTAAACATGTCCAGTAAAAAAATGTAAAAAATCGAATTTCGTCAAAAATTTAGGCCAAAATGTATTCTGCTACATGTCTTTGCTAAAAAAAAATCCCAATACGTGTAAATTAATTGGTTTAAGTGAAAGTTATAGCGTTTACAAATGGCGGTATAGATACTGGGATTTTTTTTTCTACCAGTAATGGCGGTGATCAGTGACTTTTAGTGGGACTGCGGGATATGGCGGACATTTTGACACTGGGGGGGGACTAACTTGGTGTCACTGACATCCCCAGTGACACCGATACAGTGATCAGTGCTCAAAAACAGCACTGACACTGTACTAATGGCACTGGCCAGGAAGGGGCTAATGTGAGGGGTGATCAAAGGGTTAACTATGTGCAGGGAGTGTTTTACTAGACGGCGGGGGGGGGGGGGTTTGCTTCACTGTAAGCACACTGATCGAGATGGCTGTCCCAAGCAGTGTGCCGAGCTGACAAGGAGGAAGACTGTAAACAAAACAGTATTCCTTCCCGTCAGCGATTGTCAGTAATCACCGGGCACCAGCGGGTGGTTACTGGCCGGGACCCGGTGATTGATATCCGCAGCCTCAAATGGCGGCACAGATGTCTATGCAAGTCGCACCTGAAATTGTAAAAAATAGTGCGGGAACTACTTTCAAAATCGGTATGACTCGAATTGGCATTGATTTGTATGGTTCCATTGTGGACAATAGGGTGCAACTTGTCATGTGATTTGAAAATGTCAAATCGCATGACAAGTCACACCGGTGTGAACCAGGGCTAAGTAACCATTGACACCAGTGACCATCAGATTAAAAACCTCTGACATCACTGTAAGGTGTCTCTTCTTCCACTCACCACAATATTGGAACACAATATTGATTTCAAGTGAAATGAGGCATTTTTCCATTGACCACCAATGCAAAACATTGTTTCTCCCAATGACCATTAATATAAAGAAACTAAGGGGCATATTCTCCAAAGACTGCTAGTTTAAAGGCAGTCCTTATGCTAGAATCTAAAATAATTTGGTGTTTCAGTGTGTTGTGGAATGTTAACATTTTATATTAGGCTTAATTTACCAAGACAGGGGAGTTGTTTTAGCTCCACTTCTTAGTTTGTCATCACATAAATTGGACATCGACGGCCAGCAGAAATCTTCAGCACCTTCAGCTGAAATGTTCCCTTCTCCAGACCCACAAGATCCCATAAACATCTATGGGGCTGTCTATATATTTATGACATTTTAGTTAGAGATAACATAATAGGGGGAGGTGAGAAGGTTGCAATTAAACCCCGAAAAAGATAAGATTTCTGCGCTAAGTGTACCAAAGGAAAAAATAAAATGAAAGGATAAGTCCATCTTTTGACACAAAATAATAAATGCACATTTTTTGCAGGTAAACAAATGTGCATTTATTATTTTTGTTTTGGGAGCTTGTAAAGCATTGCACCAACTATCAGCAGATTGCTGGTGCCATGCAGGTCTCCAGCAGACCTGTCAGTATATCTGCTTTCTCGTATGGGATGTGTGCTGTTACACTTGTGTAAAAATATAACGCAATGCATAGTCATGGTTAATGTTTATATTACTGTGAATTGAATTGAGAATTTATATAGTTAACTTTCCTTAAAGTGGAGGTCCAGTGGGAATTAAAAAAAATAAATAAAAGTCAGCAGCTACAAAAACTGTAGCTGTGGACTTTCCAAAAATGGACATTCACCTGTCCATTGATCCCACGGTATCCTCGCTCCGGCTGAGTTGACCGACTGTCCTGTCTCCTTGGCGCCGGCATCTTTAGTGTGGGCACCCGGCTGTGACAGCTTGTGGCTTCACCCGGGGGGACAACTTCTGCTTCCGATCTCCTAGGTAGTCACAGTGGAAGTGGGAGTGGGTATCGGTCAAATTCGAATACCCCCTCCCCCCCCCTCGCTCCCCATAGGTGCCAATCCTTAACGAGGAGCGGGGGTCAAAGGCTTACAGTGGAACTTCCCTTTTGGGTGGAGCTCCGCTTTAAGCCATTGTTTATTGACCTCAGTATAGTTTTGTTAATATACTGCCATCTTGTGGTCATTTGGTTATGCACCATCTTTTTCTGTGTTCCCTCCCATTTTTATGATGTATTTCCTTCTTCTCCTTGCAATGTTTTGTGGGATAAAGATGGCTGCTATTCTCACACCAAATGTTAATCTGCTCGCAACAGGGAACACATTACCATGTTTTGACCTGCAAATACAGTCTTTTCAATCATCTGCCACATCTTGTTGTCTGCTGTTAACCTACTGCATTCAATAAAAGATGGATGTGAAAAGATATTTGGTGAGTTCAGCTATCTGACTGTCCGTGATGATTGTATCTGCCTATACAGGCCAGGCATAGAGGTCTCAGCAAATGGTAAGCCACTAATACAACAGTTGGAGTCAGAAAAGGATGTACAGGCAGGCAGATACACTGACAGAAGAATCAATTAACTACCACAGCCCTGTGAGAACTACAAGCCGACAGCTGCTAATTTTGACAGCTAGCAGGGGAGAGAAGTTCCCCTGTTAGCTGTCAAAGCGGGGGAGCGGGGTCGGTCTATTCATAACATGTTACACCCTGAATATGGGTTTAACATGTAATGTGAAAGGTGAATTTATCCTTTAAAAAACCCCATCACACTAATGGTCCGAATACAAGGTGCAGGTGTGTATATTTTCTACAGTATTCTTGATTAGGTGTCAATGTCTAACAAAAATAAAGTATGCATTACTCCTATATATTTTATATTTAGTATTTTCTTTTATATTTTTCATGGAAAGGGGTAAGGGCGCATACCTATTAAAATTACAGTACCCCTCCTTCTGCTCAGTGTTTGATGCTGTCTTTGATTACATTTATTATTTAAAATAGCTTTTGTTTTCTTTTTGGGTATTATATGCCTATGAAGAGAGTCTTCTAGCAAATTACTTACAAAAACATATAGAGTACTGCAGTAGCATAGGCCAGCTATTTCTAGTAGTTATCCACTTCCCTTTTCAGACCAGAAGTTAGCAGATTTGATCTGTCTATAGTTCAGTAATAATGTCTAGCTCAACTTGTTTGTTTCAGGTGGTACAGTAGGAATATGAACAGAGGTAAAGCAGAACAGCTTCTCAAAATGGAAGTAAGTATTATAGTAGGATGATGACTGGAGATAATATTTAACACTACAACTGACATTTCATTGTGCAATGTACTCAGCTAATGCATTGCCAAATCAGGAAGTAGCTATCATTTTATTTTTCCAACTGTAACTGTAAAAGTTTAAGGTTGTTTTTGGAAGCAAGTATGCAATAACATGGAACTGCAGACAAACACTTATTATATTTTTATGTGATTTATTTTATTTGGCAACCCCATTGTAGTCATTTTCAGTGTGCTGTAGTGCGTATGAAGCATGATGATACTTCTGTTTCCTAATACAGCTTTGCAGCTTCTATGTCAGCTCTATGCCTCCTGCCTGCTCAGTGGAGAATCAGCATCATCACATCACATCACAATCTAATGGGGAAGCTCGTTATATAATATGTGATATAGCTGATAAGGAAAAAGAATAGTTTTCCTGTGTAATACAACAGAAAAGACAGACAGGGAAATTAAAAACTAACAGGTAGTCTACATAACTGTGGTAAGGAATAGTCTCCAAGAGTTAAGTATTCAGTGTAGAAGTAGTAGGCCTTACCTGATTGGAGTTTGAAAGTTAGGTGGCAGGAAGGAGCCTCATGGGTAGGATTGTGGAGGCTGCTGGGAGTTCATTCTAGAAGGTCCACGAGGAAAGAAAAATTATTGTTTGGCAACAGATTTAGAGTATAATGAGATTGTCATGGCAGTTTAATGTGCTTAGGAGATCTTTGGGGTTCTGTAAAAAGGTGAGATGGTTGCAAAGTAGGGAACCCATCTGGTGGCCTGGTGCCCCCTTCCCTGTGGATTTGATGTCAATTGTTCTATTAGGGGCTCCGGACTTTGAGAAGTTGGAAAATTTTGGAGCTGTCCTCGAGCTGGTGAAGTGCAACTGGGGACAAGGGACACCAAAGACCCCTTCTCATAACCAACAGTAGTTATGTTACTTAGTTGGTTTGTTTTGTTTGGTTATTGTTATTTTGAACTGTTAATTGCTTGGCTTGGTTTATTGGGAGTCACACAAGTGGATGGAAATAATGAATTCATCAGTCATATATAAATCACATGACTGATCGAGCATAAATACTAATAACTTTGCCTGGTAAAACATTTCACACATTCTTTACATGTAATTGAACTGTGCTTTTAACTGCTTGCTTAAAGATCTACAGAAGACATTGTAAAGTAGACCTTAAGCTACCCAGGTCAGACCTGGTCACAGTGAGATGTTTTGGGTGTTTGGGAGAATTAATGGGCACAGGTTGTTGAAGTGTACCAGAATGGAACCTGTCTGCATGTTAAAAAACATGCAAATACAGACAATGATTGGGGGCAACATTTCTACTTTGCATTCTTGGATATGGAGATGCTGTAATTGAAACTTAATCACCTGTGGTCATAAAAATCACTCTGCTTTTTGTCTTCCAGGATAAAGAAGGCGGGTTCATCCTTAGGAATTCCAGCCAAGCTGGCTTGTATACCGTGTCACTTTATACAAAGTATGCAGGGTAGGTTTGTAACTGCTATTCAGAGACCCAATAACTACTATGATTAAAAGATCACTAAAACCTAATGCGTAAGTTCACCTTTTTACAAAAAAATGAACTAACACCCTACACCCTTTCTACACCCTTGGTCCCCGCTACACTGACAGTACCATGGGTAATTAGCTGTCACTGCCTATGCAGCTGGTGCAGTGGCCAGGATTTTGAAAGCCCCACTCTTCTTCTCCTTCTTCCCTTGGGGTTCCCCGTAGGGTGGGTCAGAACGATTTAGGATAGCCAAAGTGGTCACTTGCCAGCATGTGACTAATTAAAATTGATCTGATCTGTCCCGGACACCTTCCAGAAGCCTTAAGGAAAGAAGGGGAAGAAGAGCTGGGCAGCACAGTAGCTAAATGGTTAGCACTTCCGCCTGGCAGTACTAGGGTCATTGGCTCAAATCCCAGCCACGGCACCACCTGCCTGGAGTTTGCATGTTCTCCCTGTGCCTGCGTGGGTTTCCTCCAAGTACTCCGGTTTCCTCCCACACTCCAAAGACATGCTGGTAGGTTAATTGGATCCTGTCTAAATTGGCCCTAATATGTGTATGTATGAATGTAAGTTAGAGACCTTAGATCAGGGGTGGGCAAACTTTTTGACTTGAGGGCCGCAATGGGTTCATATATTGGACCCGGGGGCCGGACCAAGAGTAGATGAATTATGTTTATGTGTCATCCATAGTAAGTATAGTAATATTCCCCCATAGTAAGCATAGTAATTCATCCCCATTGTAATTCATCCCCCATATAGTAATTCATCCCCCATAGTAATTCATCCCCCATATAGTAATTCATCCCCCATATAGTAATTCATCCCCCATAGTAATTCATCCCCCCTATAGTAATTCATCCCCCATAGGAATTCATCCCCCCTATAGTAATTCATCCCCCCTATAGCAATTCATCCCCCATAGTAATTCATCCCCCATATAGTAATTCATCCCCCATATAGTAATTCATCCCCCATATAGTAATTCATCCCCATATAGTAATTCATCCCCCATATAGTAATTCATCCCCCATATAGTAATTCATCCCCCCTATAGTAATTCATCCCCCGTATAGTAATTCATCCCCCATAGTAATTCATCCCCCATAGTAATTCATTCCCCATATTAATTCATCCCCCATATTAATTCATCCCCCCTATAGTAATTCATCCCCCCATAGTAATTCATCCCCCATAGTAATTCATCCCCCATATAGTAATTCATCCCCCATATAGTAATTCATCCCCCCTATAGTAATTCATCCCCCATATAGTAATTCATCCCCCATATAGTAATTCATCCCCCCTATAGTAATTCATCCCCCATAGTAATTCATCCCCCCTATAGTAATTCATCCCCCATAGTAATTCATCCCCCTATAGTAATTCATCCCTCATATAGTAATTCATCCCCCATATAGTAATTCATCCCCCATAGTAATTCATCCCCCATATAGTAATTCATACCCCATAGTAATTCATCCCCCATATAGTAATTCATCCCCCCTATAGTAATTCATCCCCCATAGTAATTCATCCCCCATATAGTAATTCATCCCCCATAGTAATTCATTCCCCATATTAATTCATCCCCCATATTAATTCATCCCCCCTATAGTAATTCATCCCCCATAGTATTTCATCCCCCATATAGTAATTCATCCCCCATAGTAATTCATCCCCCATATAGTAATTCATCCCCCATTGTAATTCATCCCCCATATAGTAATTCATCCCCCATATAGTAATTAATTCCCCATATTAATTCATCCCCCATATTAAGTCCCCAAGTCCCCCCTGTGTCAATTCACTTATTTTTGCTCCGCGCATCCTCTCGCCGTGTTCCCACGCCGTTCCGGTGTAGCATGAAAATCTGTCTCCTATGAGGATCTGTCCCCCTCGACGTATCTGTGCATGTGCCAGTTTCAGGCATTAGCAGCCGATCGGCGATCTCCAGCACATGCGCAGATACGTTGAGGGGGACAGATCCTCATAGGAGACAGATTTTCATGCTACACCGGTCTTCAGGGCGGACTGTGAGAGGAGCCTAGCTCCGCGGGCCGGATTAAGAGGTCCGCCGGGCCGTATAGTTAGTTTGCCCATTGCTGCCTTAGATTGTACACCCCTTGAGGGTTAGGGACTGATGTGAATGTACTATATATATATATGTGTAAAGCGCTGCGTAAAATTGATGGCGCTATATAAGTACCTGAAATAAATAATAAATAAATAAGAGCAGGACTTTCAAATCTCTGGACTGCTACATGGGCAGTGACAGGTAGTCACCGATGGAGGTAAGCACATCAGGGACCAGGTTTGGGCAGGGTTTAGGGAAGGTCTACAGGTGTGGCATGCAGCCACATTTATGACGGCAGCAAGAAAGCCTGGGACACCCTTCTACACATCAACAAACCTAGCTGGTAGCATCAGTTGAGTATATATAAGGGATAAGGCTGGATCTTTCCCACCTCCCAACTGTCTTTCCCGCCTACCTCCATTCCCGCCCACCGGATTCAGCCGAAATAGAAGCTGATGTTCAGCATGGCTGGATCAAGGGGATGCTGTGACCACCCAGATTTCAGCTGGGTGTCTGTTTCTTCTCACTGAGCTCCTCCTCCTTTCCCCTCACTGAACACACACAGTCTGGGCACAGGACACTGTGCAAATTGAGGCTGTGTCTGCAACAGAATGCAATCTCAATTATGTGCTGTATGGGATGACGAGATCTGCTGAATGCCCTGCCAACATTAGCCCCTGTCCTCTGCTGAGATGACTTCTGTACACTGCCCTACTGACCTCATCCTCTGCCCTTCTGTCCCCATCCTCTGCCCTGCTGATCCCATCCCCTACCCTATTGACACCGTCCTCTGCTCTACTGACCCTCTGCCCTACTGACCCCTGTCCTCTGCCCTGCTAAACCCTGTTGTCCGCCCTGCTGAACCCTGTTCTTTGACCTACTGACCCCTGTCCCCTGCACTGCTGACCCCTTTCCTCTACCCTGCTGACACCTGTCCTCTGCCCTATTGACACCATCCCCTGCTCTGCTGACCCCTCCCTCTGCCCTGCTGACCCCATCCTCTGCCTTGCTGACCCCATCCTCTGCCTTGCTTGACCCCATCCTCTGCCTTGCTAACCCCATCCTCTGCCCTGCTAACCCCATCCTCCGCCCTGCTGACCCCATCCTCCGCCCTGCTGACCTCTGTCCTGCTGACCACCTGTCCTCTGACCGGTATCGTGCAAGAAAAATTTTCATGTTTGTCCCATCAGATAATTTCACATGACCTTTCCTGATCAGCTCTCAAAAGCTGTGTACTAATATGATCGATTCGAAAGCAGTATTTTTTTATGATTTTCTGATCGTGTGTACGGGCCTAAAGGGAATGACATCACTGCTCCCTGTAGCATCACCAGGCGACAGTGGCAATTTTGGTGTCAGCTGCAACAGAGAAACAAATGGTAGGGAACCACTGACAAAAAGACTATTAGTGGGTTGGGGGCAATTTGTAAAGACAATGTCACTTTTCACGGAATAGGGAAGGTTACAAGTTAAAGTACAGGGTGTATGCTCTCCTCCTCTGTTCGAAGCTCCAGCATATGGGCAGAACTTCAGCGTCATCAAATACAATACAGGGACATTAACTCTGTATTGTACGTTGAGGAGGCTGGAGTGCGTCAGACGCAGCCTAGAGATCAGGTTGCAGTGCTGGAGGAACCTTGCTGGAGCAAGGAGCAAGGTAAGTATTTACACATTATTCATGCACTCTTAGACATAAGCATTTAACCATTGCAGTACAGGGGGCTACTGTATGGGTGATTTTTTTTTTTTAAATTTCTGAAGTTGGATGTTAACAGAGAAGTATGGGTTATATTAGAAAAAATAATTTTACTCACCTAGGTTGATGCAGCACAGATCCACAGCTGCATATGTCATCCGCTGATCACTCAGTTCTCCCCACCACTCTGAACAGAGAGCCAGGACCATCAGCTACTGGATCTCTGCTCTACCCTGCCAGTGGTCACTGTAGCAATGGGCTGGGGAGGGAGCGGCTGGCTCAGTCTCCCAGCTATGCAGCTGAGAGGCAGAGCCAGCTGCCAGTCCAGGCTTCTGGGTGGATCCTGACCATATGGTTAGGAACTTTTCAGAACCTGGACAGACTCTGTGACATCTAAAGCTATCGGCTAGCTGTCGGCTGAAACGGGTCTAAGAGTGCAGAATGAACTGTACACCAGTGATACATAAGAGAAATATAGCCAAATATAGCCAAAAACCACTTCTACTTCTAATGAGGCAAGTACGGATTTCTCTCTAGTGGTTAGTTAACAAATCTATACATTTATGACAATAAAAGCCATAAAAGGGGCATTTAAAACTATTTGAAAATGCAAAAGTGACACCGTGAACTACTCTAAACTTAAATAATAAATCAAAATATGTAGAAATACACTCATTTAAAGGAAAAGAGCCTGTATCTTTCTACAAAGCAGTTTTACATCAGTGGCCACTGTAAAACCTCTGAGCTGAATGCTTACAGACTCTCAGACTGCCATATTAGCTCCTAGCTTTCACTGCAGGGAACTCTAGTATTGCATCTCTTCTATTGTGGAATGTAAACACCTTCAGAACACCTTCAGAACAAGCATACTGTAGCACATTGGGAGGGAAAGTCCCATCTATCTGTAATTTATAGAGTACAGAGAACATTTTTTTTGTTCTAGTCTTCCAGAAAACCCTTTTAGTAGTTCTCAAAAGTTTTACATTAAAACACATGTGTAAAGATAATTAAAATACTATTAGTAATACTAGATTGCTAGGAATAAGATTAAAACTGACATAAAAAAAAATATATATATTTTTTGTGTATTTCTGACTTCAGGTGCATTACAGCATTTGAGTTCGGCTCGGCGAACCCTTCAGTACATTTTAAATATACTTTATGTTTTTTTCCTGGTATTGTGACTAAGTCACTGCATGTAAAGTTCTTTCTCCTTGTAGGGATGGTTACACACCCAGGAAGCACTACATGAAATATTCCTGTCTGTCCTTTGTACTCTACAGAAGCTCAGTTCATGCTATTTTCTGTGTTGTCTACTGAATGCCTTTCAGTAATAATTATAATTACAGTCTCTCTTTCTTTCCAGGGAAAATTCCTCGCCAATACGTCATTATCATATTAAAGAGACACAAGGATTCCCTAAGCAGTATTACCTGGCAGAAAAACACATCTTTAACTCTATTCCTGATATGATTGACTATCACAAGCACAATGCAGCAGGTAAAGTGCTTTAAAACAGTTAAAAACACATTTAAAACAATAGAAACACATTTTACTTGAGGACTAAAGCTAGGTACACATGGGTTGAAAATCGTCTGGTTCAGCAGGGACTAGTTGAATTCCAATCTGTGTTTGACAGAAGCCATTCACATTCTTCTTGTATAGATGCAGGAATCTGTTTGTTTGTTTTGTTTGTTCAGCCCCCTGTAAGAATTCAGCTTAAGACATAAGAATTTGTTTAATTTGACAAAGATGGCCACATACATGTCTTTTTAAGTCACAGGATCCCTGTCCCATAGTTGTACTATACTGCCCTTATAGTAGTGTCCTTTAAATTTAGACTTTTTTTATAATGCTAAATTATATTTTGATCATGTATGCTACTTAATTTAAATCAAAACATATTTTATTTTAAAGAATAAGTTCACCTTTAGTAACTTGTTACATGTTACACATGTACATGTTACACACGTATTTAAGGTGTAACATGATACTGTGCAGTACCCCCCTGTCGCCCCCTCTCTGTGACAGCAGGTGGGCGATCCTCTTCCTGCACCCGCTGTCACATTTTAAAAATGATGTGGCCGCTTATACAGCCGCATCATTCATTCAGAAGAATCTGTGCATGAAGAAACTACAAGTCCCGCCTTCCACAGCAGCAGACAGATTATAGTTCTTAATGAACTCCTGGGCACAGATGAGCACCCTCGTAGTTCATTCACACTCCCTCCAGGTTTCTAACAGAAAGCCTATACAGAGGTATGGACAAGAAAACTGGATGGAGAGTGTAGAGAAGCCTGACATTGCTTCAGCGATGCACTGATTGCACGTGCGATGCACTTCAGGCTTCTGAGGAAAAAAAATAAGCACACATTTTTAAACACGTGCATTTAAATCATAGGGTAAAATCACATATTAATAGAGTGTTCATTAATATTCCTCATTCCACAATGCATGCCTGTTTTATTGAAATCACATAATGTTCTGAGTTTTATTTGTATTTTATATTGGAATTATATTATGTGTTCTCCAGGCCTAGTTACTAGGTTAAGATATCCTGTGTGTCCGAAGAATAAGACAGCCCCTACAACTGCAGGATTCAGCTATGGTAGGGAACGTTACGTTTTTATTGAATATACATTTCTTTACAATTTTTTTTTCGTTTAGTATTTATGTTCACATTTATAACATTACTGGAAAATGTTATGCGGTCTTCATGTTTTCAGATAAATGGGAAATAAATCCTTCTGAGCTCACCTTCATGAAGGAGTTGGGAAGTGGGCTTTTTGGTGTGGTGCGTCTTGGGAAGTGGCGAGCCCAGTATAAAGTTGCCATCAAAGCCATTCGTGAGGGTGCCATGTCTGAAGAGGATTTCATAGAAGAGGCCAAGGTTATGATGTAAGTTCTTTTATACGAGCTGTAGCATACACCATCCCATGAGGTAAAATATATAAAAATATAACTTTTTTTTCATTAAAATATAGCTTTCCTTTTTAACTTTAACCACTTCCCTACCGGGCACTTTCACCCCCTTCCTGCCCAGGCCAATTTTCAGCTTTCAGCACTGTCGCACTTTGAATGACAATTGCGCGGTCATGCAAACTGGTACTCATTTGAAATTTTTAGCATTTTTTTGAGAAAGATAGAGCTTTCTTTTGGTGGTATTTAATCACCACTGTTTTTTTATTTTTTGATAAACAAACCAAAAACAACTGAAAATTTTGAAAAAGTTTTTTTCTTAGTTTCTGTTATAAAATTTTGTAAATGAGTAATTTTTCTCCCTCACTAATGTGCGCTAATGAGGCTGCAGTGATGTGCACTGATAGGCACTGATGGGTATTAACAGGCATCACTGGTGGGCATTCACAGACATCACTGATGGGTACTGAAAGGCAATACTCATACAGTGGGGATCGAAAGTTTGGGCACCCCAGCTAAAAATGTGTATTAATCTGCATAAAGAAGCCAAGGAAAGATGGAAAAATCTCCTAAAGGCATCAAATTACAGATTAGACATTCTTATAATATGTCAACAAAAGTTAGATTTTATTTCCATCATTTACACTTTCAAAATAACAGAAAACAAAAAAATGGCGTCTGCAAAAGTTTGGGCCCCCTGCAGAGTTAATATCTTGTCCTGCCCCCTTTGGCAAGTATCACAGCTTGTAAACGCTTTTTGTAGCCAGCCAAGAGTCTTTTAATTCTTGTTTGAGGTATCTTTGCCCATTCTTCCTTACAAAAGTCTTCCAGTTCTTTGAGATTTCTGGGCTGTCTGTCCGCACTGCTCTTTTAAGGTCTATCCATAGATTTTCAATTATGTTGAGGTCAGGAGATTGTGAAGGCCATGGCAAAACTTTCAGTTTACGCCTCTTGATGTAATCCCCCGTGGATTTTGAGGTGTGTTTAGGATCATTATCCATTTGTAGAAGCCATCCTCTCTTTAACTTCAGCTTTTTCACAGATGGCATCAAGTTACCATCCAAAATTTGCTAAAATTTTATTGAATCCATTTTTCCTTCTACTCGTGAGATGTTCCCTGTGCCACTGGCTGCAACACAACCCCAAAGCATGATTGATCCAACCCCATGCTTAACAGTTGGACAGAGGTTCTTTTCATTAAATTCTGTGCCCCTTCTTCTCCTTTGCTCATTCCGGCCAAAAAGTTCAATTTTAACCTCATCGGTCCACAGAACTTGTTTCCAAAATGCATCAGTCTTGTCTATATGTTCGTTTGCAAAGTTCAAACGATGATTTTTGTGGTGAGGACGTAGAAGAGGTTTTCTTCTGATGACTCTTCCATGAAGACCATATTTGTACAAGTATCTCTTTGTAGTGGAATAGTGTACCACAACTCCAGTGTCTGCCAGATCTTTCTGGAGGGATCGTGCAGTCAAACGTGGGTTTTGAATTGTTTTTCTCACAATCCTGCGAGCTGTTCTGTCTGATATTTTTCTTGGTCTTCCAGATCTTGCTTTAACTTCCACTGTTCCTGATGACTGCCATTTCTTAATTCCATTCCAAACAGAGGATATTGACATCTGAAAACGCTTTGCTATCTTCTTATAGCCTTCTCCAGCTTTGTGAGCGTCAACTATTTTCAGTTTCAGTTTTCTAGACAACTGCTTAGAAGAACCCATGGTGCTGATTGTTGGGGCAAGGTCAGATGAGTCTGGGCATTTAAAACCTTTGAGATTGACATCACCTGGTCTTCCCAGACGATGATTGAGAACAATCCATGACACTGGCAGGTCTCAGCTTGGCAAAGGGGGCAGTGCATGCTATAAATTCTGCAGGGGGCCCAAACTTTTGCAGACGCCATTTTTTTGTTTTCTGTTATTTTGAAAGTGTAAATGATGGAAATAAAATCTAACTTTTGTTGACATATTATAAGAATGTCTAATCTGTAATTTGATGCCTTTTGGAGATTTTTCCATCTTTCCTTGGCTTCTTTATGCACATTAATACAAATTTTTAGCTGGGGTGCCCAAACTTTCGATCCCCACTGTATATGGCACTGATAGGTGTCACTGATAGGCAGCACTGACTGGCACTGATAGGCGGCACTGACTTGCACTGATAGGTGGCACTGACTGGCACTGATAGGTGGCACTGACTGGCACTGATAGGCAGCACTGGCTGGCACTGATAGGTGGCACTGACTGGCACTGATAGGCGGCACTGACTGGCACTGATGGGCACTGATAGGGGGCACTGACTGGCACTGATAGGTGGCACTGACTGGCACTGATTGGCAGCACCCATAGGTGGCACTGACTGGCACTGATAGTTGGCACTGAAAGGAAGCTCAGATGGACACTGAAAATGTTTCATTGATGTGCACTGGTAGGCACTGATATGTGGCATGGATGTACACTGACAGGTGACATTGATGGGCAATGACAGGTGGCATTGATGGGCAATGACAAGTGGCATTGATGGACACTGACAGGTGGCATTGATGGACACTGACATATTGCACTGATGGGGCTACACTGATCATCAGGGCACTGATGTAAATGTCCCCTCTGAGTAATGCCGATTACCTGCTCTCCTCTTTTCACAAGCTGTCTGCATGACATCTCGTGAGGAGAGAAATGCGATTGGACACAGCTGATCACATGACAGAGCCGAAGTCATCGGCTCTTTCCGCTGATCAGTGATCCCAGGGACACAGCACACCACCAATCGCCGTGCACGCGTGGTTAGAGAGTGGGAGGACGTCATATGACGTTCTCCCAGAACAAGAGAACCTCCTTTCTCCCGTCATTTCCTTATATGGCGGGTGGGAGGCGGTTAAACAGAGGAGTTGGGATATGTATCCAGACTTAAACATTATGTAAACCTAACATTTCATGTTCCTGAAATCTGCCTGCTGTACCATGTACTTGTAAGAAAACGTATCCTGTGCTCTTTGTATTGTTTCATTTGTGTGAAATCTTTGCTGTTCATGCGAGTCCCTCTGATTTCCTATTAAAAACTGTCCACACTAAGCAGGAGAACCCACCGTAGTCAGTTCAATAGCTGTGCTGGGAACTCAGCTTGCTTTCCTCCAATGATCAGACTTGTCCTGACTTGTCCTGACACGCCTTCTCCTGCACAGCCATTTACTGGAAAGTTCACTGTACTGTTGTTGCTCCTCCCTCAGCTCTTTTGCAACTGAGAAGAGAAGGTATAAAAAAGGGAAAAAAGGCATTTAAAATGTTTTTTTTAGTTCTGTAAACAAATGTTTTGCATTTCATTTCTATTTTAAACTGCATATTTTAAAATAAGCACTTAGTGTAAGGTTTCATGTGTATGGGCATCAGGATTATGCAACCTCTAGCCCACTGCATCTACCTTGTTTTGACAAATGCATGTATTTGCCTTTCTATGCCCACCATTCACTGCTTAAAATCGTCCACTTGCAGCCTCCTGCATACCTCCCAACTGTCCCTGATTTCGAGGGACTCTCCCTGATTTGGAAGTCCCTTTGTCCCTCATTGCTCCTCATTTGTCCCTCATTTTGGTCTAATCTATATAGTTGTATATAAAATGCGCTATTTATTTTTCAAAATTTCAAAATTGTTGCATTTGTATACTTCAAAAGCCAGTATAAAGGAATATTAGTAGTTTTAAAAAAGCACTCGTGGGTTTAATTAATCTATTTTTTGTATAATTCTCCCTTTAGGGGGCATGGCGGGGGGGTGTCCTATGCCTACATATATTTGATAATAGATGTCCCTCATTTCCATCTCAAAAAGTTGGGAGGTATGCGCCTGAGGTACTGAGAATATTTTTCACGTGAGAAATATAACTCTAGAGGCAGCTACCAGGCACTTGAGATAGAATTGTATATAACACATTGGACCACAAGTGTGATATGAAGGTGTTCCTTATAGGTAAAATGTATCCTCCACAAATCCTTTGCAAGTTGTGATAGACACCATCATAAAGGTTACCTAACTATAAAAAAGCTGTGTTGGTGGCAAGCAGCCAGTTCAAGCCTGCTAAACACCTTGATTGTACTCCACTACTGCAGATGTGAGCTCCCACCCTTAGATCAGTCAGAAGAAAGAATTGTGCTTGTCTAGGATAAATGCTGAAAGATTGTTCTGACCTTGTAATAAATACATTTGTTCTGCTCATCTATTCAAAGTGAACCCGAGCTTATGTACACAGCTAGGTATTATACGTATGCAGGAATGTGCTCATGTAATGTAGAAGGGTGTTGGATTTGTTCCTATTAAATATCAAATGCATTAATAGTGTTAATGTAATGAAGATGAATGCACATGGATTGCACTCACCTTACTACAATAAACATTTATGTTTTGCTAAACTAATTGATATGACTGGGTATAATGATTGTTTTGGGATGTACTCATTATACTGAGGTACTCACTAATAGATGCTGTAAGTGATGTATGTAGATTCAGTGCAAAGAAGAACTCTAAGCTCACTAGGTGAATATTTCATGAAGAGGATATGGTGGTTGATTTACCAGGGGGTTGATTTACTAAAGGCAAATAGACTGTGCACTTTGTAAAGTACAGGTGCACTCTGCAGGAGCAGTTGCTGCAAAGCTTAGTAAATGAGCAGAAGCTCTGCTGACTTCCATCATCCAATAGCATGCAAGCAAAAATGCTGTTTTTCTTTATTTTTCTTGCATGTGATTGGGTATTCTATGCAAAGTGAAGCTGTACATCATTTATTAAGCTCTGGAGCAACTGCACTTTGCAAAGTGCAAGGTTTAACCTTTAGTAAATCAACTCCATTGTGTATAGGGTCTTTGTTTGCAACTCCTGCCATGAAATCACATTTCCCCCCTTTTGTTATTTTCCTTTTCAGACGTAATTAAGCATCACTTCCTTCCAATCAGGTGCTCATAGGTCTCAGGTACTGCTGGCTTGATGGTCAGCAGGTATTTTTTTACAGATCCATCAGTGAGACTGTCTAATAGCGCAGTAGTACCTCCTACCTATACTATATATAAATTAACTGAGCAGCCCCAATCCGCATTTATTTTTAAATTGTTGCATACATGATCCATTTTTTCCATGAGTGTTTGGCCCATGCATACAACATCACCTCTTTCTCCTCTCTCGAAAAGATTGTTCACACAATGACCTTAACAATGTTTTCTTCAACACTTTCCTATGAGCCCGGGGTGGTGGTAACACCCTCTTCTCCCCTGAGTAACACATTCCCTTTGGCTCACACGATGTGGGTGGAGTTACTGTATGTGTGTGTTTATGTATATTATATAGTATAAAAAAATCATAACTTTTTTTTATACTAATGTACATACCTCTCAGACTATAATTAACATAATGCTGTCAGTTTGTTAAAAGCCAAGAATTTGTATTTAAACAACATGATGGATGATATTAGCATGATATTTTTCTATTTAGGAAACTGACTCATCCCAAACTAGTACAGTTATATGGGGTTTGTACTGAAAAGAGGCCAATCTACATAGTGACTGAGTTCATGGAACACGGCTGTCTACTGAACTATCTCCGCCAAAGACAGGGACAGTTCAACGCGGACATTTTGCTCAGCATGTGCCAAGACGTGTGTGATGGAATGAACTACCTGGAACAGAACAATTTTTTACATCGGGACCTGGTAATACATTGAAATACTGTATGCATGTCATAAAATATTAGTGTTTTTAACATTAACATGAAAATATGGTAAAGATATTTTATCGGGGTCCTAATGTTCATAATGATAGTGTCTATGAATGGAAACTCCATTTTGGGAGGAAGGAATGAAGATTACTCTCCTTAGTGTCCTTAGTTCCATTATGGATGTTTTCTGGGAAATCTACCTATGTAATTGTGTAGGACAAACAATTTTCCTATAGAAATCTATGGGGCATTTTTACCACATAAGGTTAGCACAACCTGCTGGCTTCAAGAAAATGGCAGAATAAGTATCAGAGGTACTCAAATGAGTCAGTTGTACACCCTTAAATACTAAACTGGGTCTGTATTTGGTCTCTGCTGCCCTAGAAATTGTAAATGGTGACCTCTTGTCTACAGCTCTGTTACGGGATTATGAAACAGATGACTGCATGCTAGTGGAGCCTTTATTGTTTTCTCATCAAGCAAATCTAATATTTTGGACAAATAATAAATACATTAACTAGAAAAGCTACAATTTCTGGGGAAATTGTGTGAAGTGTTCTTGCCTCCACCAGTAGTCTACAACTGGAGTGGGCGGAGTAACTGGGTGGAGTGGCTTGTCACTCTGCTGCCTGCTCACACACCTGGGTTCCTATGGCAACTCACTCTACAGCAAGGGCAGAGAAGAGCGGTTAAAAACAAACTGCTCCAACTTGCTCACTTCACTGGCAGTTGCCATCTTCAAACGGTTGTAGTTTAAAAATTGTTAATTCTACACTGAAGAGCTTTATATTGTGAGAATCACAAGACCCAGACCTACATTTTGATGCATAGTATGTCTCTGAAATATTAAAAATGAAGGCACAGTTGCAGTTTAGAAATTGCCCTTCAAATTTGAGGTGGCTAGAGTGGAGTTTCAATGAATGTCAATGGACGGCGTGAGTTGCAAACAAATGGTCATATTGTGAAAACTATCAGACTATGGCTTAGCCGTGGACATTTTTAGTGGCAGCAGGGATAGCTGAACGTTTTGATATAAGATTTGTGTAAGTGGGCTTGAAAATGAGGGAGTGATGGCAGTTTAGAAATCATGTCCTGATTTTTCAGCTCACACTCTAGCTTTTGTCAGCTCCCACTCTAGTTTTGAACATTCCGCCATCCATTCCTATGGGACCAATTTCACCACAAAAACGGCAATATTTCATGAACCATTCGCAAAACGTTCCACAAAATAACAGCACACCAATCGGAACAATCCGCACGTTTCGGTATATTACTGTCTATGTAGTGTAAAAACTGTGGGAGGAGTTAGGGTGGTAAATTTGGCTATAATAATAAGAATATATATGTGAGATAACAGTAAGTGGTCTTGCCATGCAAGAACACTTAATTACCCAAAATCATGCCCAAACAACTGAAACACTGAAAATGTGTCCCTATATAAAGTATAGTTCTCTAAGATCTGTTCCCACAAATGTTTTACTGACTTTCTCATAAATGTCCTCTAGTAATTCCCCCAGATCTCCCAGAAAATAGTGTGACTATGTATTCCTATGGAACTCTTCACACTGATCTGTTTCGGGTCATGTGCGTTTTTTTATAATCCTGCTTGCTGCATTTTGGTGCAGGTTTAGTGCAGTAAAAAAAACGCACCAAAAACATCTTCTCGTTGAAATCAATAGAAAACCTGGAAAAAAAACACGCTAGCAACGCACCCATATTGTGTTTTTGGTGTAGTTTTTGAGTCACATGTCCTGTAAACATATACGTTTTTGCCATGTTTTTGCCACAGATCAGTGTGAAAGTAGCCTTAGTCTTTAACTTTTTGATGATTGTAAAGTGCTGAGCAAACAATCTCAGCTAACTGGCCCTCCAACTTAATAAAAAAATAAATGTTTAAATTGTTAATAAAGACGTTATTTCTTATTTCTTTTATCCATGCCCCTTGCTGCTACGTGCCGTAAAATGATAGTATTGTTACAGTATTACCTGTCAAAAGACGCTCTCAAGTGTTGAACTGTCAGTATAGGGACACTTGTCTTGCTATAAAGATAGTTCTACCCGTTCTTTTAAAACTTTGAACACTGAGTCTATAACAGGAGTTAGTTAGGGGTATATATACAGTGGGTAAAGAAAAGAATCACCCCCCCCTTTAAATAATCACATTTTGTTGCTTTGCAACATGAAATAAAGAAAGACACAGTTTTTGTTTTATCCAACTTATCTACTCAGTGCAACTTATAACATCCAAGTTAAAGATGTGACATTAACATGTTAGGACATTTAAAAAAAAAAAATCAAAAACAGAATCACTGAGTTGGAAAAAGGATTACCATCTTGTGTCAGTATTTTGTTGAACCACCTTTTGCTTTAATTACAGCCTTTAGTCTGTTGGGATATGTCTCTACTAACTGCACATTTAGATTTTGCAATATTTTCCCACTCTTCTTTGCAGAACTGCTCAAGTTTGGTTAAATTGGTGACTGTTTGTGGACTGCAGTCTTCAAGTCAATCCACAGATTTTCAGTGGGGTTTAAGTCTGGACTCTGACTTGGCCAAGCAAGGACATTCATCTTTCTCTTTTTCAAGCACTGTGTGCTAATTTTTGCTGTGTACTTTGGGTCATTGTCATATTGGAAGGCAAACTGTCTTCCGATTGACAACTTTCTGGCTGAGGACAGTAGATTTTCCTCAAGAATTTGATGGTATTTTGCCCTATCCATTTTTCCTTCTATCCTGACAAGTGCTCCAGTCCCTGCTATAGAAAAACACCCCCATAACAGGATAATACCACCTCCATGTTCTAATCCAGTGGGGGTATGCTTGAATTTCACCAATTTTGGAGAAACCTCTTTACAATCATGTATTAAATAGACTGCTACTGCCACTCTTTATGGATTTGCTGATGGTTACCACCAGGACCAGACTCCATGCATTTAATGTATGAGGGAGGCTTACTTTCTTTACATATCCTCCCCTGGATGGTGCCTAAAATACTGGGCATCAGAGGGAGGTAAAGATACCATATACATGTACAGTGTTTGAGTTCCCTCCTCTGGACTACATTTGGTATGGTGTTCTGTCTGGGACCCTTGTATGGTTGTCCCCAATGAGATGCATCCAATCTACAATCTAGTGTAAGAGTGAGGTCTTAAGCAAATTAGAGCATCTACAGGACATCCGTCTCTGGACTACACACTTTTATCTCCATATGGGGCCTCCATTATGTTTCCATCTATTTCATCTTTTTTTTGAGTGGTAGAAACTGATGATGCAAGGAGCATCCCTTTGAAGAGGACTCACAGTTACTAACTTTGGAAGTTTACATGCTGAGCATCATGATCCTTTTAGAGAAAGCTACTTAATGTTATTATATGTTTATCTAATTGATATCATTGGTACCCCTAGTAGGGGATATAATGCAAGACCTGTGGAGTGTGGTGTTTTTTGTTGTTTTTAGATATGTCTTTGTCTAATAAAGGAATCATTTATGTGCCTTTGACCACCAGCCCCATTATTTAGTATAGGTATAATACAAAAAAACCCACCAGTCTTGGTTGAGTCCATAAGTAATCGTTTCTAATTCAGTTTACTATTGTAATGTTGATTAGGGACTCCTGGATCGCTAATTAGTATTGACCTTGAGGCTTCTGTTTGGAGGTTTTGAATGACAACAATTTTACCGGACAGGAAGGGAGGTAAAACCTATAACAAGGACACAGACAGAAATAAAAATCTGACAGGGATTCTAGCCTTCCCCTATTCCTTTTAATATCTGTCTGTGTTGCTGTTGGAGATTTATGCTCTCTTCCTGTCTGCTATAACTATTGTTCCCGGGACAGTAAGTGAGGGAAATCTCTCTAACAGAAGTAATAAACCATTTTTGCTGGATATACAATTTAGGCTACTTTCACACTTGTTCCCCTCAAAAACACTTGAAAAATGACTAGCATTTTTGAGGCGTTTTTCAAGCGGAACATCCTGGACATGTGACTTACTTTTGTAGCTCAAATTAGGCAGATTTGCACGTTTGAATTCACTAAAAAACACTACTAAAATACTGCATGAGTTATTTTATTAGGTCATGCGGTATTTTAGTAGTGAAAACCATGGTTAATGTTTCAGCCGTCAGCGGGGTTCCCCACTGACAGCTGAATGTAAAAGAAAGAATTGCCGGCAATTAAAAAATATATAAAAACGGCGTGGGGTCCCCCCCTCCATCCATACCAAGCCCTTCGGGTCTGGTATGGATTTTGAGAGGAACCCCCATGACAAATAAAATGGCATGGGGTCCCCCCAAAATCCATACCAGACCCTTATCTGAGCGTGCAGCCCAGCAGGTCAGGAAAGGGGGGTGGGACTAGCAAGTGCCTCCTCCTCCTGAACCATACCAGGCCACATGCCCTCAACATGGGGGGTGATCCCCCCCTAAAAGCACCTTTTCCCCATGTTGATGCGGACAAGGGCCTCTTCACCATAACTCTGGGCTGTGGCTGTGGGGGTATGCGGGTGGGGGCTTATCGGAATCTGGAAGCCTCCTTTAGCAAGGGGGCCCCCAGATCCCGCCCCCCATGTGAATAAGTATGGGGTACATGGTACTGCTACCCATTCACAAAAAAAAAACTAGTGTGAAAAAAGACAGGAGACAGTCTTTGACAAGTCCTTTATTAAAAGAATGAAAATAAAAGAATGTCCCCCGAAGTAGATTCAACATCAATCACAATGCCTGCCACTGCCGCCAACCGCAAAAAAAGAAAAAAAAAAAGCTCCCAACGCTTGCTCCCGGACATCTGACTGCTCTGCTGGCCATCACGTATGTGAGCCTGCCCCCGTGTGACATCATTGACCCAGCATACCCCGGTTGATGATGCCACACGGGGGCAGGGTAATGCGGGTGATGTCATTGGGTGGCCCCACCCCTTACATATTGTAGCCAATTCTTTCTTTTATTCAGCTGTCAGTGGGGAACCCCAATTGACAGCTGAAACAGCCAGACCTTCCCACATGTGCGGTGCGTTTTTGGAGAGGTTTCAAGCGTTTTTGGAGCATTTTTGAGGCAGTTTCCATTCATTTCAATGGGAAGAGGCATTTTTTTTAACTCCCTAAACATGCCTCAAAGATTCTACAAGCAGGAGTTTTTACACCGCACTACAAGTGCAACGCCTGAGTTTGAAAACATACATAGATAAACATTCACATACACAGGGAAGCAGTTTTCTTGAGCTTTTCAGGTGTTTTTTTTATTGCAAAAACGCTTCAAAAACTCCTCAGTGTGAAAGCAGTTTTAAGCTTTCAGTTTTTAAGCAATTACTGGTTCTTTTTTGCTTGTTTTGAATAATGCTGTCTTGTATACTTGATGGAGTTGATGCTGATGAGTTAATGTGTTGTCTTTGCAGGCTGCCAGAAACTGTTTAGTAAATGATCTTGGTGTAGTAAAAGTTTCTGATTTTGGAATGACAAGGTAAGCACTTTTAAACACTTTGCAACATGTGTTAGATGGTAATGTGGAGGTTGATGATGTGCAGTTTAGCAGTTTCCAGTTCAGATTAGTCAGACAGTAGTGATGTGTTGCTGTGGGGTAATGTACTCTGCTGTGCCTCATTTTTAGAGTAGCCATATTACTTTACACTGGCCAATCTTTTATTCTTTAACTGTCAGTTTAATAAACTTTCTCTAGGGTACACTCACAAACACTTGAGCAACAAAAGTATACTATGTAATATTATTATACAGGATTTATATAGCTCCAACAGTTTGCTCAGCGCTTTACAAAATAAAGGGAGATAATACAGCAACAATACAGTTCAATACAAGAGGGTTAGAAGGGCCCTGCTCCTTGGAGCTTACAATCTAAGAGGAAGGGGCTAGTAGTACAAAAGGTAATAACTGTGGGGGATGGAGTGGTAGGAGGAACAGAAGATTCCATTATTAGCTGAAGGCAGGATAGGCTTCCCTGAAGAGATAGGTTTTCAGAGATTGCCTAAAAGTGGGCAGAGTAGGCGATAGTCTGATAGATTGGGGTAGAGAGTTCCAGAGGATGGGGGAGGCTTTGGAGAAATCCTGGAGACGAGCATGGGAGGAGGGGACCAGGGAACTAGAGAGTAGGAGGTCTTGTGAGGAGCGAAGAGTACGTTTTTGTGTGTGGTATTTGGATACCAGATTGGTGATGTAGTTTGGGGCAGTATTATGAACAGCTTTATAAGTCAATGTTAGCATTTTGAATTTTATCCGTTGGGCAATCGGAAGCCAGTGGAGGGATTGGCAGAGAGCGGTGGCGGATACGGAGCGCTTAGTAAGGTGGATGAGTCTGGCCGCAGCATTCAAGATAGACTGAAGCGGGGATAGCCTGTGGTGGGGTAAGCCGGTGAGGAGGGAGTTACAGTACTCAAGGCATGATATAATGAGGGAGTGCATGAGTTGCTTAGTGGTTTCCGGGGTTAGGAACGGACGTATATTGAAGATGTTACGGAGGTGAACTCTGCATGAGTTTGTCAGCAAATGGACTTGGGGCTGGAAGGACAGATTGGAGTTTAGGATGACACCTAGTACTCTGGCTTGAAGGGAGGGACTGATGGTGTGTTGTTGGTCTTGATGGAGAAGTCGGGGGGGGGGCGTGGGCTGGGGGGGGGAAACTAGGAGCTCAGTTTTGGACAGATTTAGTTTGAGGAAGTGGAGTGACATCCAGCCCGATATGTCGCTCAGTAGGCTTGTGATACGAGTGGAGACTGAAGGGGTGAGGTGAGGGGTAGAGAGGAGCAGAGAAGTTTAAATGGTTTTATATGTGATTGTTAATGTTTTGAATTTTATTCATTGGGCAATGGGAAGCCACATTACTGTCACCATTAATAAGCCACAAACCCCTCTCCAACACATTTAGAATAGAACAGCTTGGAAAAAGGTAATCTAGTAATATACTGTAGAGCACAGGTGTCAAACACAAGGCCCGAGGACAAAATCTGGCCCTCCAGGCCATTTCATGTGGCCCTCAGACCTCTCCTGCAGCTGTGGCACCCCCCTTATCTCCACCTTGTCTCATCAGTTGGCAGAAGAGAGGAGGATAGGACTCCTCTGCTAAATCCTGTGCTTCTCCATGCACCCGCAGGAGGCTCATCTCTGCAACCCCCCCGCCCTGGGTTATTAGCAATTGGCAGCAGAGAGAAGGACAGAACTCCTCCTACAGATCCTGCACCTCTCTGTGCAGTCGCAGCACCCCCTCATCTCTTAACTTCCCTGGTCTCAGCATACAGCTGACTCCAGACCTCCTCTGGTCCTACTCCAGACCCTGCACTCTCTGCTTCCCAGCTTCACCTCTAGCTTCTTAAAGGCCACAGCAGGTAAGGGAGGTGCACTATGATGTAAGGGAGGGTGGAGTGCTCTGGACATCTAGTCTTTCAGATACAGCCGACCTTTTGAACAAAACCATAATGCTGACGTGACCCACCATGAAATTGAGTTTGACACCCCTGTTGTAGAGTTTCTCTTAGCCAAAATGTTATAAAAAGCATGTTTTTTTTATAATATCTCTAGCTGAATAAATCATTAGGTGAGTGACTCGTCCCTTATTGGAGAGAGTGAGGGGAAGTTTCAGTTAATAGGGGCCAGCTGGAAGGGAGACAACTACTGCTGTGCTGGCCCATTGTGCACTGGAAATCCTTTGTCTTGTATTAAATGTTTAATTATAAAACAAAGAAGGTTCTTATGTAGTAAAATTCATATAAAACACCAATTGAAAAATGTGGAAACCATAAAAAAAATCTACTAAAATTGACCCAAAACCAGTACAGTTTACTTTTAAGTTTCAGAGGTGTTTCACTTCTGTACATTTTTCTGTATGGATATTGTATATAAGGGCATATTTATAAAAAATATAAAACTGCTATTTGAATAGAGATGAGATGAGTGGGCACAAGCTATTATCAGTGGCTGACAGCCTTGAACCACTGCATGAGGCCTGTTTCAAAACTGAAAAACTAGCTGCTTAGAAAAGTCACTTGAGAATGTACTGTCCCATTCTTTTGCAGTTATAGAGACTCCGTCACTACCTAAAAAAAGATTGCAACTAAAAGTAAAAATATCAAATATTCAATCCCTTAACTGAAATGTGTTTTTTAAATACAGTAAATTATTTAATTTGTGATATGCCTTTAAACATGCTAAAAATGTGACTACTCCAGGAAGAGTCTATTCTCTAGCACAGCCCCCACCCTCTCCTCTTCTGGGAGTGTCTAATTAATCTCTGTGTTGGCCAAGCTCCTCCACCCCTCACCTCACCCCCTCACCTTCCTATATATTGTTTTATGTAGATGACAGAAGAGGAGAGGGGTAATACTATAGAGTGTCACTTGAGTGAGAGCTCTGAGTCTGCTGGGGTTGCTGACTTCACATCTAAGCAGTAGTAGTCACCCAGCAGTAAGCGGTAGTAGTCACCCAGCAGTAGTCTCAGCAGTAGTCCCACCCAGCAGTAGTCTCAGCAGTAGTCCCACCCAGCAGTAGTCTCAGCAGTAGTCCCACCCAGCAGTAGTCTCAGCAGTAGTCCCACCCAGCAGTAGTCTCAGGGCTCAGCAGTAGTCTCACCCAGCAGTAGTCTCAGGGCTCAGCAGTAGTCTCACCCAGCAGTAGTCTCAGGGCTCAGCAGTAGTCTCACCCAGCAGTAGTCTCAGGGCTCAGCAGTAGTCTCACCCAGCAGTAGTCTCAGGGCTCAGCAGTAGTCTCACCCAGCAGTAGTCTCAGGGCTCAGCAGTAGTCCACACCCAGCAGTAGTCTCAGGGCTCAGCAGTAGTCTCACCCAGCAGTATTCTCAGGGCTCAGCAGTAGTCCCACCCAGCAGTAGTCTCAGGGCTCAGCAGTAGTCTCACCCAGCAGTAGTCTCAGGGCTCAGCAGTAGTCTCACCCAGCAGTATTCTCAGGGCTCAGCAGTAGTCTCACCCAGCAGTAGTCTCAGGGCTTTTGAAATTCTGCAAAAAGAAAGCTTTATAGCTTAATGGCATGTTTAAAATTGGCTAAATTCACACAAACTGTTATAGCAAGATTTTTTACTGGAATGGATGGTCTGATGTATGGATCACTGTACATTTGTACAGTGAGTGAATGGCAGGATATGCTGTATGCTCATGGCCTACAAACACCATACCTTCCAGTTACACAGAATACATTTTATTCTTCTTTAAGACAATATCTAATTCTTTTTTAGAATGTACAGCATTACCATAATGCACATTAGGGCAGGAAAAAACAGAACTAGTAAACACTGGCAACGTGTTAGTTTTGTTGATTTCCTAATAGATAGGGTTCCAAGAATTCAGCAGTATCATGGTATTTTCCTAAGAAAACTGCATAAAAACACTGACAAGGGTGCCAAGTTATGAATCCTCAACCCTTCTATAAAGACCTGTGGAGAGTAATGTAAAGAGAATGCAAACTGGTGTGTTTTTTGTACAAATATTTAAACGGCACAACAGTTTCTCCTTTTGCTAAGTGCTTTGTGTAAGGTACCAGTGTTGAAGTGGCAGTAAACACTGCTTGGCGACTTGTACCTACAGGCAAGATTAAAATAAAGCTTACTTGTAGGTGAAATTAATATCCTAAACGTACACTGTTTAACAGATTTATACTATTCTTCAGCCAGTGATGTCACGGACGGGACGGTGGGGACTCCAGCTAATTGCAGCACTGGGTAAGGGGTCAGTGGAGAGATAGTGTGGATTTTGGCTGAAATGAAAGAGGAACTGAGCTCTGTGCCAATAAAAGGGCAAGAACTAGAACCAGTATTGCCTGTGGTCTATCTGCAGCTCATCTTGTTTACTACTGTTCATGTGATCACTGATTGGCCAATCAGGGATCACATAAAGGGACCTCACACAGAGGGTCCCGGACAGCGCATGCAGCCAATGGATGCAGGGGGATGTTTAGAAACGTCCTCCCACATCAGCAGCGCTCCTGCCCGGCTGTTTATCGGCAATGGGCTGAACGGGAAAAGGTTAACTGGGGGCATAGATAGCAATATAAACTGACAAGTGTTCTAATCCCTCTCCACTTTATCCAAAACTAAATAAAAATGTTTTGCCTTTAGTTATACTTTACATTTATGCACAGAGTCAATATATGCAGACTTGACCCCTCTTTTTCAAGACCTCTGCAATTCGCCATGGCATGCTGTCAATCAACTTCTGGGCCACGTCCTGGCTGATGGCAGCCCATTCTTGCATAATCAATGCTAAGAGTTTGTTAGAATTTGTGGGTTTTTTGTTCACCCGCCTCTTAAGGATTGACCACAAGTTCTCAATGGGATTAAGGTCAAGGGAGTTTCCTGGCTATGGACCCAAAATTTTAATGTTTTGTTCCCCAAGCCACTTAGTTATCACTTTTGCCTTATGGCAAGGTGCTCCATCATGCTAGAAAGGCATTGTTCATCACCAAACTGTTCTTGGATGGTTAGGAAAAGTTGCTCTCGGAGGATATTTTTATACCATTCTTTATTCATGGTTGTGCTTTTAGGCAAAAGTGTGAGTAAGCCCACTCACTTGGCAAAGAAGCAACCCCACACATGAATGGTCTCAGGATGCTTTACTGTTGGCATGACACATGGCAGCATTCACCTTTTCTTCTCTGGACAAGGTTTTTTCCAATTGCTCCAAACAAAGGGGATTCATCAGAGAAAATGACTTAACCCCAGTCCTCAGAAGTCCAATCCCTGCACCTTTTGCAGAATAGCATTTTATCCCTGATATTTTTCCTGGAGAGAAGTTGCTTCTTTGCTGCCCTTCTTGACACCAGGCCATCTTCTGAAAGTCTTTGCCTCACTGTGGGTGCAGATGCACTCACACCTGCCTGCCACCATTCCTGAGCAAGCTCTGCACTGGTGGTGTCTCGATCCTGAATCTACTTTAGGAGATGGTCCTGGCACTTGCTGGACTTTTGTGTGCTCCCTGAAGCCTTCTTCACAACAATTGAACCTCTCTCCTTGAATTCCTTGATGATCCAATAAATGGCTGATTTAGATGCAATCTTAGTAGAAGGAATACCCTTGCCTGTGAATCCCTTTTTGTGCAATGATGACTGAACATGTTTCTTTGCAGGTAAATTAATATTTGTGTCATTCTCAAAACTTTTTGCCAGGGCTGTACATGCTATAGCATTTTGTATTCTATCGAGTGGTAGTTTTCTCTCTGTGAAGTAAATTGATGACTATTCATAATTTTCTTATGGCTTTGATAGAGTAACAAATGTATTTCCCGACATAATCAGGTATGTCCTTGATAACCAATACACAAGTTCTTGTGGAGCCAAATTCCCTGTGAAGTGGTCACCACCTGAGGTCTTTAACTACAGCAAGTTCAGCAGTAAATCGGATGTCTGGTCCTTTGGTAAGAGAACTGTAGAAATATATTGTACAATTTGTTTTTTACTGTGTGGTGCCTTGGCCTGCATTATCCTGTCCCTTTTAGGATAGCCTAAGACAGGGGTGGGCAACTGTGGCCCTCCAGCTGTTGGTGAACTACAAGTCCCATCATGCTTCTGCTTTTGGGAGTCATGCTTGTAAATGTCAGTTTTGCAATGCCTCATGGGACTTTTAGTTCTACAACAGCTGGAGGGCCACAGTTGCCCACCCCTGGCCTAAGACATTAGATCCCTTCTGCTTCTCTGTACAGGATCTGGCCTGTGTGTGAAGATTCCCTGTATATTTCTGCAGAGGAATCTCCTGGCTTCCTTATATGAGATGGCAGAGCTGAGCAGGACATATAAAGCCATGAACTTCAGAAAAGCATGCTGGCAGAGAGATAACAATAGCTATTCAGCCTTCCTATTATCATAAACAGGTTTTGTTGTATTTTATCTTTAAGGTAGGATCTTTACATTTCAACATTATTGCTACATGTAAATAGACTGTGAGCTCAGCAAGGGCATTTGCTCCAGAGCTTAGTATATGAGGTGAAGCTTCACTTTGCAAACAATGGCCAATCACATGCAAGGAAAAAAAAAAAAAAAAAAACACCAGCATTTTTGCTTGCACATGATCAGATGATGGAAGTCAGCAGAGTTTCCCCTCATTTACTAAGCTCTGGAGAAACTACAGTTGCAAAATGCTCAGCCTATTAGCCTTTAGTAAATCAGCCCCAATGCCTCACTCAGTTTTTTTTTTTAGTGTATACCTTCTTTTAAGTGCATTTTTGTGCCGATTTTTTCTTGTCCCACATGAAGATACTTATGAAAATAGGTTTACAATTTTTAGCACACAAAAAGAACATTCTCTCCAAAATTACTTATTGAAGTGGAAGTTCACTCTGGAATTTGGCTAAAAACATTAAAAAGCCATAAAACACATATACCGTGATAAACGTATAGCACCGTATTTGACATCTGTCTGCACTCTGGCTGTCCAGCAGTCAGCACTGGAAACTGCCAGCCATTTACAAGCAAAACAATGCTACTCATGGGGGTTTATTTACTAAAGGCAAATAGACTGTGCACTTTGCAAGTGCAGTTGCATTCTGCAATTGCAGCTGTTCCAGAGCTTAGTAAAGGGGAAGTTCTGCTGATTGGCATCACTCAATCATGTGCAAGCAAAAATTTTTTTTTTTGTTTTCCCTGCATGTGATTGGGTATTTTTTGCAAAGTGAAGCTTCACCTCATTTATTTAGATGTGGAGCAATTGCACTTGCAGAGCTGGCCTATTTGCCTTTAGTAAATCAACCCCACATTGTCACTTCCACACATGCTATCTAGTTGGTCTGTAGATTAAAGCTAGTAACACCAGACCTTCACAATCCTATCTGCAGGGTGATCAATGCTGAAATGTTGAAAGTTGACCTATACTCCCCAGGCCGGGGTCTATAGTGTGGAAGTGCTTGCCTGGAATTTTCTTCTGCATGCATTCTAAAAATGTTATTATGAAAAAAAAATGTTGCCCTCTACCCTTTACCCAAAGTTAGACTTTCAGTATAGCTCATTTTATTTGTATCTTAATCTCTTGTAATATATTTTTTTGAGAGCCTTAAGCCTAAATTTAAGCAAAACTATAAAAAAAACAAAATCTGCACAAGGGACAGAACTTGTTACATTTAATGTGAAGTGTCCCTTGTGCTGGAGCTGGCTGTCATACATGATATAAAGGACTCTGTCCCCCATATTCTGCAGCCATAGTATTCCAGTCCTCCCCAGCTTAATATGAATGCTCATCAAGACTGCAGACTAAGCCAGTCCTTTCTGCCCCCTCCTCCAGATATAGAAGCTATATGATAGCTTCCATGAGTGAAAAGCGGTCTATGAGTGGAGGAAGCGAACCTTTCATTCATCTGCCCATCCTTAGTTCATACTACTTTTCATTGATGCAAGCTCTAGGACAACTTCAGAGAGAGAGAGGTGGGGGGCACAGTTGGCAGTGGACGAGTGCCTATGACAGAGCCAGCATTCATATTACCCCTGCAGCATTGGAAGATTACTACTGTGGTGTATAGGGGGAGGGGGCAGCTGTGGTCTTTGAACTATCAACTATGACTTTCAAATATGAAAGCCGGCACCAGCACAAAGGATACTTTGCATTAAATCCAAAGACATGCTGGTAGGTTAATTGGATCCTGTCTAAATTGGCCCTAGTATGTGTATGTATGAATGTGAGTTAGGGACCTTAGATTGTAGCCCCGTGAGGATTAGGGACTGATGTGAATGTACAATATATATGTAAAGCGCTGTGTAAATTGACGGCGCTATATAAGTACCTGTAATAAATAAATGTAATCACCGTGCCTTGTGCTGATTTAAAAAAAAAAACATTTTAACTAAACTTAGGCTTGAAAATATCTTGATCAGACACTGTAAACCCTAACAAGCAAATGGTGTCACTTTGTTTCTTCTCAGGTGTGTTAATGTGGGAGGTGTTCACTGAAGGTAAGATGCCCTTTGAGAGCTACTCCAATGTGGAGGTGGTAGAAATGGTGACAAGAGGGGAAAGACTGTATAGACCCAGGCTGGCTACAAACAGAATTTACACAATAATGATGGCCTGTTGGCATGAGGTAAGACCACAGAAAAAATGTAGAAATGATATTGTGATTCCAGCATGACCTAAACATACATCTGATCTTATGCTAGTTATGGTCCTCCTCATTAATGAATGCATAAGCAATGGAAACTGATGCAAAAATTGAGTTGTTGCTTATTGAGCCGGAGCGAGAAAACTGAAATCTGACTTGTTTTGTTGGCTATATACCTCTCAGCAGCCTTAGCAAATCACAAACTAATATGAAAAGAAGAATTTCCCTACATCTGACCATGAAAATGCTCTATTAGGTAGAGACATTAGTGAACTTGGCAGTTGTGCATCACTCCCACTCAGAGGCTGACTGACAACTAATGAGGCCCCAGGCCATAGGGGATCATGGGGCCCCTGTGTCCTAGCCCACACTCAAACTACACCCAAAAAAGCCTATGAAAGGTACCAGGGGCATTTCATGGGGCCCCCTACTGACCCCGGGCCCTCGGGCAGTGCCCACGTGCCTGAAAGGTCAGTCCACCCCTGTTCCCACTATAGGATATATAGATTTTGGTAAAAATAGGACACCTCTGTAAGTGGTTGGTCGGGGCATGATCCCCTCGTCTCCCGCAGACATACGTTAAATCCAGTATTCCTGTTGTTCTAATGGACAAATACATTTCATAAAAATCAAAATGGCTCCTCAAGAAAAGCATTGCATATGTAGCCTTCACCACAAATACCAGATTTTCCTGCCGTTGTTACTGCATGAGAAAGCTTTGTTATGTACCTAACTTTTTTCTTGTCCCTCTTTCCTGCTCAAGCCAAGCTAGTACAAAAATGGTGGAGACTAATGGAATATTTAATTATTAGGATCTTCAGTCTTCCTCTTGTTACTACCAAGATGCTGCTTCCAGCTCCGAGCAGCAGCAGGGATGGGATCTTGGTGAGGTACAAACCTTGATGTGCTGGTTAAACTGAGGCATCCAGTTTGTTTTTATTCTGCACTCAAATCCTACCCTTGTCACAGCTCAAGCCTTGAAATAGCAGCTTACTTTTAGCAAGAAGAATGAAGCTACCAAAACATATTTTCAGCAATTGCCAGAACTCTTAGGTTTTGCTTAGCAAAGCAACATGAGTGGGACCAGTGGACACTGACTACACAGGCCAGTACTAAAAAAAAGTTTTGTGAAATACCGTATTTGCCGGCGTATAAGACGACCCCCTACTTTTCCTGCTAAAATGTAGTGTTTGGGCTATACTCGCCATATAAGACTACCCCTCTTCCAATGCACACCAGTGGGAGGAATAGTGCCCCATCATTGGTATCAGTGGCAGGAATAGTGCCCCATCATTGGTAGTGGCAGGAATAGTGACCCAGGATTAGTATCAGTGGGGGGAATAGTGCCCCATCATTGGTATTAGTGGCAGGAATAGTGACCCATCATTAGTATCAGTGGGGGGAATAGTGCCCCATCATTGGTATCAGTGGCAGGAATAGTGCCCCATCATTGGTATCAGTGGGAGGAATAGTGCCCCATCATTTGTATCAGTGGCAGGAATAGTGCCCCATCATTAGTATCAGTGGGGGGAATAGTGCCCCATCATTAGTGTCAGTGGGGGGAATAGTGTCCCAACATTGGTGTCAGTGGGAGGAATAGTGTCCCAAAATTGGTATCAGTGGGAGGAATAGTGCCCCATCATTGGTATCAGTGGGAGGAATAGTGCCCCATCATTGGTATCAGTGGCAGGAATAGTGCCCCATCATTAGTATCAGTGGGGGGAATAGTGCCGCATCATTGGTGTCAGTGGGAGGAATAGTGTTCAAACATTGGTGTCAGTGGGAGGAATGGTGTCCCATCATTGGTGTCAGTGGGGGGTGGAATAGTGCCCCATCATTGGTGTCAGTGGGGGGTGGAATAGTGCCTCATCATTGGTGTCAGTGGGGGTGGAATAGTGCCCCATCATTGGTGTCAGTGGGGGGTGGAATAGTGCCCCATCATTGGTGTCAGTGGGGGGGGAATAGTGCCCCATCATTGGTGTCAGTGGGGGGGGAATAGTGCCCCATCGTTGGTGTCAGTGGGGGGGGAGGAATAGTGCCCCATCATTGGTGTCAGTGGAGGAATAGTGCCCCATCATTGGTATCAGTGGGAGGAATAGTGCTCCATCATTGGTATCGGTGACACCAATGATGGGGCACTATTCCTCCCACTGACACTTGCTGACCCTGTTCTCGTATGGTGCTGCTGCAGCCAGCATATGTGGTTGCAGCAGCACCTCTACACTGACCACTTACCTGCTGGTCCTGCACTAGATTTTCGCGGGGCCGCTCGGCTCCGCCCCCTCGCTGGTGATTGGCCGCCTGTGTGCCTTTCCTGAGCTACAGTTCTGGCGGCCAATCACCGGTGAGGAGGTGGAGCCGAGCAGCCACGCGAACATCCAGTGGCCGAACTGAAGGAGCAGCCGCGCTTCCTGGACCGGATCGTCGTGGGACCGGAACCAGGTAAGAAACAGCCCCTGCCCACCCGTGTACTTAGTTTCCCTTCCGTCAGAAGGGGGGGGGGGGCGGCGGCAGCACCGCGCCGCCCCCCCTAAAAGGTGTCAGTATGCCGTATACCGGCGTATAAGACGACCCCCGACTTTTGAGAAGATTTTCAAGGGGTAAAAAGTCGTCTTATACACCGGCAAATACGGTAAGTTGTGCCAAGGAAAATGATACACAATCAAACAATGCTGCTGCTCAAGAGACAAAAAAACCCCATCAAAATACACCCAAAAAAAACTGCGCAAACCAATTAAAGAGACAAAATACCAAATAAAGTCCCAAATAAAGAAAGTCTTCTGTATTAAAAAAAACTTTAATAAAATAATATAAACAATATAATTCCCAACGTGTTCAAACTCATCTAAATGGTGAAAGTTTTCACTCACACTCCCTCAATCAGGTGATTGCCAAGTGGAAAATTACTTCAGGAATCAAACACACATTTTGGAGTTGCGATGATATCTTCTGAAGAAATCTCCCGATTACTTCAGTATTTACTTAATCCATACCTCCCGAGTGGGTGAAAGAAAAAAAGAAAAAAACAAATCGTGTAATACTGCGAAATTTTTTTTATCAAATATTAACCATTACACTCACATTTAAAAAATCGACTGCAAGCTTCAAACGGACACAAATCCTTCCAAACAACCCCCAGCAATCCTTCCCTGGTAATCTGCAAACTTTGGCTCATGGATGGATGGTGGATGCAAAAAAAGAAGGGGGAGAGCCTAATAGCATAATACTGTATAAAGCCTTTAATAAAAAAAAAATTTCATATTGCACTCAAACTTTTAAAAGAATAAATCAAGCCTTTTGATAGACACAATTTCCTTCTGGGAAGCTGAAAAATCAATTTTTACACATATATGATCCCAATAGCATGGAGAGAGATGAATTGGCAGCAATCAGGGAATTTAACCTGATTTGCCCACATCAAATATGGCCACGGAACTCCGAACCAGCGTGCGTTCTTCCACTCACCAGACGTGACGTCACACGTCGTGGATTGTAAACCAGAAATTACGTCAACGCGTTTCTCCTTTCCTCAAAGGCCTTAGGTGCCTAAAGGCAGATACTTCACCATTCAAGTATTGATCAGATTGGGACCCACAGTCAGACACATACTGGGCATTATGGTTAAATACATATTTATTAACATTATACAATTAACAAACACAATCAATACCCAGTCTTTGGAAGCACAGAACAAAATACATATACATGTTGTATATATGAAGGAAAGAATGGAAAAAGAAAAACAATTAATTATGCTCCTAGCAAATGTAATATATTCAATCTACTTAGGATAACTCAATTTTCTGTTACATGCCTGGCATTTTATAGCTACCTGCTTCCAGCACCAACTACAGCTCTGAGCTATCATGTGCAAAATGCCAAGTGCTACAAATCAAGCTGGTACTGGAAGATGTACAAATATGTGTCACAATGGACTGTCCACCAATCTATGTGGCACACTTTGTGTGGTGCACTTTCTTTAGCCTAAAGAACTCTTTCTTTACCATGAAAGGCTTAGTTGGTTGTGTCTGCCCCCAGGACAAATGTTCCCAATCCTCCCCTGAGTGGGTCCCAGGGGGTGTCAGACTAGCAATAGGTTAAGTTTTAGTTTGCTTTAATTGTAGATCTCTCTTTGAACCTAGTACCTACTTCCATTGTTCTGCCCCAAGGGGTGCATGTGGGAAGGGAGGGGTAAGGGACACTGTTTCATTTTGTTTGTATGGCTGTCTATGCAAATATTCTCTGGTTAAAAAACTTGTACCTAGGAAGAGAGGGGGGTTTCCTAATGTTTTAATATTGAAAATCCCCTCTTAGCCAGAAATACCTGTAAATTGCATGCATTCCCTGACCTTCATTCAAATGGAGGGCTTGCTCTACCCGAGCAAACACAAGCCTCATTACCTGTGTGAACCTAGGCCTAGTATGAGATACAAGTCCATAATCTACAGATTCTGTTTCTCATTTTAGGACATCTGCAGTTAGAAGATTGCTCATAGCAAGCTTGTTACTAAAGCGACTGAACTTTATTGTGGGGAAAATTATGATTTCTCTCTTCTTTTTCTAGAAGCCAGAAGGACGCCCCAAGTTTTCTGACCTTTTGGTGGCAATCGGCCAAATACTGGAAGGAGAATTCTGAAGACTTGGAATTAGTTATACTTCACTGCCTGGATTTTTGTATTGTTAGATAAGTTAACAGTTGGACTTCGAAGTTGTTGAACATACATTTCCCATATGTGGTTCCTACATGATTTTTTTTTAGTTTTTTTACGTGTATTTTTAGAATATCTTGCACACTACGGGCTTTACCTTCTATAGGTTTACCCAACACAGAACCCGTTTTGTTGGATGGAATTTGTCCTCTGATCTGTTTTTCTAGATGAACAGCTTGAATGCTATGGAAATTTTGAAATATCTATGAATGAATGATAAAGGATTTCTAAAACATATTTTTTTTTAACTGTGACTCCTTGCTGCATGTATGTACATATCATGTATATTTATAGAAATATATTTATGATAAAAGATTGTTT